GTAGTTATCGAAAATTAGTGTAAACGTTTGTTTATAAAATTTTTGAAAAGAAAAGAAGCATTGGAGATGCTTGCTTGCTTGGCATGCTATTCTATCCACTACATTCAGTTCAGTCATCTATATATTGTCCATTCAATCATCTAGTTATTGTCCATTCAATCATCTAGATATTCCCTTCAAAAATTTACTATGAATGTATGCCAAAAGCTTACAGGCTTTGCCCTATGTGTTTGCAAGTTTATATGCAGCAAATTTTCACCTCATTCGTTTCCATTTTTCAAGCTCTATAAGATGTGCTATATCTCAAGCTACTGTAATAGTCAGATTACTGTAATACTATGTGTTTTTAAAAGTAGACAACCCACCAGGGTTTCGAGTGGACAGAGAATGCGAGCTCTAACCGGTTTCTTGTTAACTAGTATTTTCAACTTTAATTATTTTACAGTACTGTGAATTGAAGTTTACATTAACTCTGAATTGAAAAGTTTTCAAAAATCAATAAGAACAATAATAAATATTGTACATGAAAGAAACTATAGGTAAGTGATGACCAAGTACTTATCTAGATATCTATAGCTAACTTACTGTAATACTAAGCTACTTTAATAGTCAGATTACTGTAATACTATGTGTTTTTTAAAAAGTAGACAACCCACCAGGGTTTCGAGTGGACAGAGAATGCTACAAAAACAACACTGAAATCAATGAAGAACCAAGTTTGTTTTGTTTTGTAGATCAAAACATTGAAAATTGTGGAAAACAGTCTATTGAATACGTCATGAATATTTAAAAATAAAAAATAAAAACAAAATTTGAAAAAAAACGGTTTATTGTTGGTGGTGTGCCGCTCGCACACCTGAAACTTTGCTCACCTACACAAATGAACGAGGTTTGAGTCGAAAGTTCAGGCGGCGAGCGGGGGCACAAAATAGAACAAGAACGGGGATGGGGGTGAATAGATTGAATAGTTTGGATTGAATGACGCTGATGTTGAAGTGAATATGGAATCACAAAAGCCAGTGAATGGGTGGAGCTCTTGAAAAGAAAATACATGAATTTCGAGGAATTAAACGATCAAAAATCCGAGGAATCTGACTGAAGAACCATTGAAGACATTTGGTAATTAGAGAGAAGAAATTTTACTAACAGATTACTAACAGATACTGGCAGATACTGGCAGATCTTTGTGCGTGTTAATGGAAACATTTTTCTACCGTATCCTACTGATTGACGGACTTTTATTTATTAGAGTTAGATATGTTGGGGATTGTTTGAAAGATTGAGTTCTCTTTTGAGGGAGTCCGATCGAAAATGAGGTCAAGAGTTTCCTCGGCGATTGAGGGTTGAGGAGGGAAATGGGGAGAAGGAAAAGGAGGAGGAAAAGGAGGAGGAAAAGGAGGAGGAAAAGGAGGAGGAGGAGGAGGCAAATCGATGGAACGCCTCGATAAGTTTAACCTCAAAATGGAGTCACTGGGAAATTTTTGGTGAAATCGCTCTAGATTTAGATATCTTTAAAGACTATAGAAAGGATCTGTTTTGGAGCTAAAGACTAATCTGATCTACTGGCTTGAGAATCTCTGCATCTATAGACGGTTTATAAAACGAGCCATACTTCTGGCTAAGAACTTGATAGTTAACTTTCTAAAAACTCAACTTATTACAGCATTTGTCTCTAGCAAGCAGGTGCAATTGTACAGAAAAAGCCACAGAATAATAGTTACAGCAAAAATATGAAAACCACTTGGCAACATCGCTACATATTAGAGGAGAAGGGGCATGGCCGGCTGGCAAAATATCGATGTGTGGATGGAATCGAAAGAGATGGGGAGCGGTGGTTTCTCTGTGTGTATGCGAGGAGGTGAGGCGGCCCATCTAGAGCCACACGGCCAATAGGCTGGCTGGTTGGGTGTATGTGTGGGGAGTGGACCGGAGGGGTGGATGCGAGAGGACAGAGAGGGGCGGGGCCTGGACGAGGGGGGGAGGCCGCATTATGAGCAAGGCCGATCTATGCATGCACAGCCATGCCCCTATAGAGAACAGACACCCCTCCCCGCAGCCGCATGTGCGCATCGACGAAAAGCCTTCCCCTCCCTTAGCCCTTTGCTTCTTCGTTCATCCATGCACACAAGCTGCCCAAATACGAATGTGCCCGCTTGGATGGCCAACGTCAGGGAGATCGCCTTTCGCTCCTTCCTCGATTTCCCCTTAACGTCACAAAACCATAAAGAGTTTGACTTCAGAACGTTTCAATGGGGTTTAAAGCTGAGATGGTAAAGTTTTTTGATCAAATTGAGATAATGAGTGCCTGAATCAATACAATATGAATAATAGAGTATAACCGAAAAGCTTGAAGAGGCTTTGAAGAGGAAAAGAAGAGATTTGAACAAAATCTGAATTTATTGTAATCAAATTTCTATCAAGCTAAGGATTTTCAATGCGAATTACACTACGAAGTAAAGCTGAAGCAATTTCTGTAATGCGAATAGAAATTCGCATTACAGAAATTTGTTTGTTTGTTTGTTTCTGTATAAGTTTTCCAGAGATATGATCGAAAAGTGCCGAACCTACTGTCACTTTTGAAAACATTAAAACATTAACATTAAAACATTGACATTAACATTAACATTAACATTAACATAATAACAAACATTAAAAGCCGGAGTTCACTTTTAATTTTACACTCTTCATCGTGAGGTATGACTGTGCCTGAATGATAGCCATGATTTTAACTCTAGAGGAAGGATCTAACAACAAGAAACTACACAATTTTTGACACTAAATATCGTCAGCTGGTATGAACATAACCTTATCTCATTATTAGTAAAGTAGGTGGTCATTGAAACTCCAGAAAAAAGGGAAAACAGTACTTTCCTGTTATATTTGGCTTTAGCGAAGGCATTCTAGTTTTTAAAATGCAAATTTTAGAGTGGATAGTACCGAAAAACTGATTATCTATGAGCTTGATTTCAAAAAAACCAAACGTCATTTTGGTGACTTTTCCATTTTTTTGTACAGGGCTGTGTGTGTGCTGAAAATGATGCGAGAAAGTTCCGATGATATTTGGTAATCCGGAAGATTCGGCTTCAATTAAAAAATGAGATGAGAATCGATCACATCACTCTTTATTTAGCCAGTCGAACACTCGACTTTCAATTTTCTTCTTTGTTCAACCTTTTCCAAGAATTCTCCCCAACCCCAAAGAATCTCAGCAACTAATCGAAAATGTAGAAGGCTTAAGGGAGAAAAAAAAGCTAAAGAAATGGGGACCAGATGAGATCACACAAAGCTTTTTCATCCATGCGTGGAAGGTCTTCAGTGGAGAGGGAAGGCATGGGGATGGGGCCTAGGGGCAGCATTGACGCAACGGTTCGGGCAGGGAAGGCACATAGGGGTTATGTATGGACCCATCCAAGAGAGGGGAGAGCTCTCTTTTTGTATGGGCACACACATCGATTGGAAGATGCCCCTGTTCTCTTTTTCCCTCCTTTCACCGCTTTTTGGCCATCTTTGGGCCCTTCAGGGGATGGCCTTAGGCTTGCCTGGGGGACTGCCTGGGTGGGCCCCTTCCTCCGCCTTAGAACCCCGGCCCTCCGTCGATAATTATTGTGAAGGCGCCGCGGCACAAAAAAAACTAACGGCCCTGCTGCCTCGTCCTGAGCTCCTGAGGACTAGAGGAATTTTTGACTTTGTTTGGGAATTGGGGGTTTGGGGAAATTGAAGGTGGTTAGATATTTGAGTAATCTAATCAATACAAATTCTGTTTCACGGCAACTACTGTATCCAGTAAATATTTTGTTTCACAGCAATCTGCCAAAATGAGAAGAAACCAAATTCTAGAGCTGATCGTGAGTGCCTCATTGAAGAGCTAAAAGAATTCAGTTTTTGCAGTTTCTAACTTCCATTTTATTTTAGGGTATCTTCAATATGCCTAGTAAGGAGATAATTTTAAAAAATGGTACACAATGCAGTACGATCTTGAAATTCTGGTATCTACCACTTTGATCAGAAAACTTTGAAACCAAGAGTCAAAAAATCCTTTACATTCTTCACAGCCACTCAGGAAACTCTGAGAAGAGATGCTTTCAAATTAAGAAAGGATTCGAGAAGAATGGGCTCCTTCTTGATTCGATATGCGAAAGGAGGAACTCTTCTTGGAATACTTTGAGAGACGCGCACTTCTGGGAATCGAATTATTGTTTCTGACTCTGATTCGAATGCTTGGAGTTTTCTAAAGTTTTCTATCTAAAAGTGTGCCTCTTCGTAGATAGCTTCTTCAAATTTCAGTTCATTAGAGCTGTAACAAGGAAGAGACAAACCTACCATGTGTTCTTTGAATTTTCTGCGTCTTTGCAAAACCAAAACTTCAAAAAGTTGCTTTGGTTAAAAACCCAACTTTACCCCACAGCTGCTTCCGAGTTTTGGATTCTAGATTTGCTTATCGGGCAAATTTGGGGCAAAGAAAACAAATCACGATAGAAAAAGTCAAGGAAAGAAGGAAATACGAAATCAAAAAGTAGCGCTAAATATTTGAATACCGTAATACTTGTAATAGTAGCGCCCCCCGTACAGTCGCGTAGTCTAACACAAAATTTTGTGATACTCGGTTCTCCGCGCTGCTTCGACGAAAAATGTGCGCTTAGATATCAAAAGACAGCGCTTGAAGCGAAGGATTTTTTGGTACTAACAGTTTATTTTAGAAAAATCTGAGTGCGTTTAAAAAAATGATTTACTTTAGCGACTACGCGACTGTACGTCATTATGGGGCGGGGGCGCTACTATTACAGGTATTACGGTAGGTATTCATTTTATTTCTGTAATTTTTATTTGCCAATAATTTGACACATAACATAAACGCACCTAGTTTTCTTGATTGAAATCAAAGTTTTGAATTTTCAAACCAGCATATTTTGTCAGTTGTAACTTACAACTCGAAGCTTACCCTTTATTTGACTTTTTACTCCCCTTACTTACTTCTTCCTTTTTACTCTGGTAACGAATCCATGCTCGCGCTTTGTGCACACACGCGTGCCCCATCTACCGTAGTTCTGCACAAACGTCGGTTCGAAATTCGTGTTTCTTTGCACTCTTTCTCAACAATTACAATGTTTTCTTGTTTTTTTGTTTAAATTTCAATGCTTCACAATGTTAATTGCTAAATTTTAGGAAAAAGAAGCCTCTCATCATGTCAACTGAAGTGATCAGCGAAATTCCCGATCCACAAGCACAATCACAGGTACTTTTAATCATAAATTTGTTAAGCTGGTAGATTTTTGCATCAGCTAAATGAATCTAAATAAAAAAACTTTATTCCGAGTGATCTTACTTTAAATAATAAGAATATGTTGTTAAACGTTAAGAGTAAGTACGCTACGATTTACGCTTGACACAAAAAGATCAGCTTGAAAAAGGGTTTTTGCATTTTGACACGCGGATACATCCATAATATTTGCAAATTAATTTTTATTTCTTTTAGGAAGATGCAAACAAGGAACAACAAGCGGATCCGGCCCAGAAGCAACTTCTCAACTATGTGTTTCGATCGATGAAAAGGACCTACGATTTATTTGCCACCGATTACACAAAATATCCAGATGTTGATGACTCTGAGTGAGTTGTTTTTATAAAAAACTATCATGAACTGTCACTAAAAAGACTTAAAATTTTTGCGGTGGTTGCGACAAACGATTAGAACGGCAGCTCGTTAAAAACGATATTTTGAATAAGTTTATATATTTAGTAACACGATGATGAAGCAGTTCAAAAAGCAAGGCGAATACAAAGGCGTTTTGCGCCACGTCGAAGAAGAAAAACGAAAGAAAGAGGAGGAAATCATGCAGTTGCCCACATCAACTAAAATTTCTGGTAGGGTTTTGGAACTGCACATGAAAATGTAGTTGTAGTATTTGTTAACAACTTGTGCTGTTGGACTCTTATTTTGGTCTCTATTTTTTTGCAACCTAATCTAGATCCGTAGCTATATTTATGTGTAAAGCGAAAGAATTTTACCTACTTATTGTTTTCTTTAGGTACCGTTATGAAATCTGGAACCGATACTTTGGCAATCACAGCCGGTGATGGTGGTGCACAAGGAGCAAAGAAGACAGGACAAGGGTAAGCTTATTTGATTTTAATAATGTACTCATAAGCAAGCTAGCAAGGCCCTTGAATTGTTATTTGCATGTTTAATTAGAATTTCTTGATATCAGATTATTTAAAGGTAAACTTTAGACAACTACTATCTGTGCTACCTGTTGGTTCACAGTCTCGAGCCGAAGACAACACAACGAAAGCTCTTCTGCCCTCAAAAGCTCCGATGATGATCAAACCAAAGTGGCACGCTCCATGGAAACTTTATCGAGTGATTTCAGGTAAAAATATAATTAAAATTTTATCTAGACTTTGAACAAAATGAGTTTTTAAATAGCATTTTATTTTAGGACACACTGGATGGGTAAGAGCTGTTGATGTTGAGCCTGGAAACGAATGGTTTGCAACTGGTGGAGCGGATCGTATCATCAAAGTATGTTAGCTGAATATCAGAGAATGCCTAGGTTTATATAACTAAATTTGAAAGTTAGCAAAGATTATTATGTCCTTTTAACAGTAATCATCTTAAATTGAACAAAGATGTGCTAATGTATAAAACTTACGCATTCCATTTAGATCTGGGACTTGGCCAGTGGTCGCTTGCGGCTCTCACTTACCGGTCACATCAGCTCGGTGCGTGCGGTGAAAGTCTCCCATCGAAATCCGTTCCTTTTCAGCGGTGGTGAAGATAAACAGGTAAAGTTGAGGTTTTTATCGAAAAAAATTATTTACTTAAGGTGAAATGTTGGGATCTCGAGTACAACAAAGTTGTGCGGCACTATCACGGCCATTTGAGTGCCGTGCAAGCAATCGCTGTTCATCCAACACTTGACATACTGGTGACGACGGCTCGTGATGCTACTGCCAGGGTACGTAATCCAATTTTCAAAAGTTGGCGTTTAAAGTTAAATCAAAATAAGTACAGAGAAAAAGAGTACATCATATTTTTTAGGTTTGGGATATCCGAACAAAGGCTCAAATTCATTGCTTGAGTGGACACACGAATACAGTAGCCGATGTAGTGTGTCAGTCAACCGATCCGCAGGTATTATTTTCAAAATTCAATCACCTTGAACGCATCAATCTGTGTTTGTTTTGAAGATTTTAGAAAAACGAACGCCGAAAATGTGATTTCTTTGATCTCTGAGTATGATTTCGTTTTTTAGGTTATCACCGCGTCTCACGACTCGACCGTTCGTTTATGGGACCTCGCCGCCGGAAAAACTATGTGCACGCTCACACATCACAAGGTTCGTGTTTTTTTGACTTCCGATTTATTGGAACCATCAAACGAACCAATGAGATCATGTAGCCATTTATTGGAATGTGATGCGTAGATCATCAAGCTTATTAGCTAAAACAATTAATCTTCAATATAAATTTTGGGAATGATTGGTGCTGAAAGGCGCGAAAATTGCGCGCCAGAAAAAAAGCTGCTAAAGCTAGCTGGCTTTTAGCCTTATGTCGGTTTCTGTCGGTTGTTTTGGTGCGAGGATCTTTGCAAGAACATACATACCGTAATACCTGTATAGTAGCCCCCCCCATAATGACTATTGCAATTGCCCCCATCGCCAGAATAGTCTAACTTTAGACGCTCTGTTCTCCGCGCTGCTTTATGCTACAGTGTGGGTGTCAAATGATAGTCCTTGAAATCTAGTATTTTTTTGGTACCAAAAGTGTAGTTGGGAAAAGTCTAGAGACTGAGAAAAATATTTTCTAAAAAGAAGCTAGACTACGCGACTGAGCGTGCACATAGTTTTTGCACATAGCGTGCGAGGTCCCATAAACGAACGGTCGAGTCGTGAGACGCGGTGATAACCTAAAAAACGAAATCATACTCAGATCAAAGGAATCACATTTTCGGCGTTCGTTTTTCTAAAATCTTTAAAACAAACACAGATTGATGCGTTCAAGGTGATTGAATTTTGAAAATAATGCGGGCGCTACTATTACAAGTATTGCAGTGGTTTTTTTGATAAGAACAATGGGATTTTTACTCTTTAAAAGGATATCATTAGATCTTTAGTGTTGAAAGTAGGGCTTCAGTAGGAAGCCTGTCAAAAAGTAGGACTTGTGAAAGACTAAACCTTCTGAAAAGGTTGGCTTTATTTGAGCTCTAGCCCGTGTTCTTTATCAGCTATGATTTTGTCTCCGTGCCAGTTCTGATGTACGTTTGATTGGAACGTTTTGAACCCGATTAAGTGATCACATTTATTAACAAAACAATTACAAAGCAGCGAGCAATCAAAACTATCAAATCGACACATTTTTTCGGAAAATATTTGCCTATTTTGCTTCACTCCACGTGGAAGGTGAATGAGCCAACAAAATTTTCACAATGTCTATCCGTATTTCAGAGAGATACCCTATATCACAACAGTGAATACGCATTACTATTAAAAGTATTTGCACTCGGATGCTTAGCCGAACAAGCTTGTGTACATTTTTTTATGAGATCAAGAAGATGTTCATCATTGTGGGCAAGAGTGAGAGATTAGACTCGGCGCATACGGTTGCTCCAGGCAAACGAGACGAAATCCTCGGCGGCAGCCTGGGGTGGGTCCTTCTCGTCGTATCGGAGTTTGCTTCCATCACCAGGGTACATAACAATAGCAGGGAACTTCTTCAAGGGGAAGGCAATCTAGAAATTCTTGATCACTCATTTTTTATCTTTGTACTACTGTAGTTAAGATTAAGCCCTTGCTAGGTATTCGGTTCGGTTTTGTTTTAGGCTCACCTTCATGTACTCCCATCCGGTCTCATTGTACTCAAGCGAGAGAGTCTTCATTCCCCATCCTTCGAGGATTTTGGCGGCTCGTTGAAACCGGGGAATCGTTCTCTGACTGCGTGGGCATGTACTTCTGTAGACGAGAACCAAAACTGGCTCATCAGAGGGAATCTAGAGAAGTGAATTGCTTAAGCATTTGCTACACTTTCACTTACATTTACGGCTCTCTTGATCGGCTGAACGGGGTCTTGGGTGAACATCTTCTTGGCTTCGACATAACTCTGAAAAGTTTCTAGGTCATTTACTTTACTTTCTTTATCAACTCACCAATAGTAGGGCTAATCCGGCAATTGATAGGGCTGAGAATCTCGCCATTTTGTTGATACCCAAGATCTGAAAACGCTGAATAAGTTTGAGTTACTCTGAGGATAATGGGAGAAAATAAGCAATTTAAAGATTTTGGGATGTTTGTGTGGAGGCAACTACGTCGTGGGCACAACGATAAAGGGCGGGGATTTGCGGTGGTATGGGGGACGGGCTTCCAACCCCTTGGCGTATCTCGATCTCAGCACTCCCACCACCCTATCACCTCGCAGCTATCTTGTGATTGATGACCGGAAAAGGGTTTTTTCATTCTTTTATCTTTATCCATTGAAAGGCAATGAAGTGGATGTCGATGAAATCGGCCAACGAACGGATGTGAACCCCTTCCCCGTCTCTACCCCCTCCCAATTAACCCACTCTATGAACGAATTTTAAAAGCCTAGGATCGCCGATCTTAAGAAAAAAAGTGATAACGAATTTTCTGTTTTTTGCTTATGGGATTTATGGGGGCAGTCGGAGACGGCGCCTTATTCGCCCGTTTTTGCGGCGACTTCGAAGTGTTCTCGAGATACAACGAACGCCGGAAAAGGATGAGGAATCAATGGGATCAATTGCTAGGAAACTTGCTTTCGCAAAAATTTGCAGCTTTTCGAGAAAGCAACTCTTATCTGCTGAGACACACCAAAGATTGATTGCAAATACATGTGAAAACCCAAAATGAAATTACCTATGTCAAATGGAAAGGGAGACGGGAGATTTTCGAGGAGTGTTCTGCTTGCAATCACTCGGAGATTTTTGGAAATACTAACACGTTCTCCGCCTTTTATATCCGCTCTGCCCCCATCACATGAAGAAGAGCAAGGACAAACTTTAGACCAAGTGAACTGGAAATTGCTCTCCGCAAAATTTATCGCCGTGATTTTAGTTACTACGAGTTATTTTTTGTGAGCGACGGAAACAAAAACACGCACAATCGAGTTTGCGACTTTTGTGGATAAACGGAGGCGATAAAAGTCACGCGCGATGGCCAGAGAGATGTGATAAAGTTTATCAATTCTTAGATTTTCCAGATGTGTTTGTTTTGGGATAATCCGCGGGGTTTTCCTTTCTCTTCTCGTACTTGGTTTGAACTCTGTTGAGGAAATTGTGGTTGTGGACGGCCTTGATCGAGGTTGGCGCCTATTTGCCCCGCGCATGACCGTCGCAGACATAAAGTTGAAGAACGAGCCTTCAAATGAGGAACTTCCTTCTTTTTTAACCATGTCTTTAAAGTTCACAAAAACGAGTGGTTTATTAGCGCTTAAAGCTTGCTTTGTGTCTATGTACGGAAATGAAAAAGAAAAATGATACTCGGGTACAAAAAGGTACAATATCTTTGAAAATGATGCGAACACTTGAAAACAAAACAGAACACGCTAGCAAGTATATAGAACAAAATAAGTGAACACAAGTAAAGGGTACTTGTGTTAATAAAGATTTCAAAAATTGGGTAAAATATGCCAGAGTGTACATGTGAAAACTAGTCATAGTCCATTAAGTTGCAGGGTCTTATTTATGCTGTTAAAATATTCATTCTACATTTTCAGAAATCCGTTCGTTCACTCGTCATCCACCCAACGTTGAATATGTTCGCCTCAGCAAGTCCGGATAACATCAAGCAATGGAAGTCGAAAGATGGAGAATTTCTACAAAACTTATCAGGTTTGGATAATTTTATTATTTATGGTCAATCTCAATTTACAATTTTCAGGACACAACGCTATTGTGAATTCCATGGCTGTCAACGAACAAGGTGTACTCGTTTCTGGAGGTATGTTTTTGTTTATTTCTAAAGATTCAAATGTAAAATTAAATTAATAAAGCTACTTCGTAAAACTAAGATAAGTTTTTAATTTCAGCTGACAACGGTTCAATTTGTTTGTGGGATTGGCGTTCGGGCTTTTGCTTCCAGCGTGAACAAACCAAGGCTCAGTCGGGTTCCATTGATTCGGAAGCTGGAATTTACGCAATGACTTTTGATAGGTTTGGTTTAAATGTATACTTTAAAGAACCCAAAGCTTTGTTTTAAATCTTTACTATAAGGATTAACTTCTAAATATTTAAAGGCTACAATAGATCAAAACTACAAGCTAATGAGGGTTTTTTTTACATTTGCAATTTTAAAGATTTCAATGGTTTCATTTTCAGAACAGGGACACGTCTCATCACAGCCGAGGCCGACAAAACCATTAAAATGTTCAAAGAAGACGATGAGGCGGTTAGTTTCATTTTTTATGTATTCAATTTCTCTCCATTGGCTCTCACGGGGTTTTCCGGAAACACTTAATTAATTGTGGGGGTGAACTTTTTTCCCAGGGGCGCTGTGCGAATTGGAGAAGGAGGTGGAGTGGGAGAGGGATACGCGCTCGAGATGAGCTTGTGAATGACCTTGAGAGCGATTTCTCTTCTCTCTTTTTTGCCCACAGCTCTTTTTTATTGGCTCCTCTACTTTATCGGTTAACCACAAGTCTCTTTACAGAGCTTTTTTTGCAAGAGAATATTTTTGAGTGGTTCTAATTTGTGGGATTTTGGATTTTGGTACGGGAGTGTAAATTAACGTAAAACTAGACAGAAGGAAGAGAGTCTCGTTGAACCCAAAGAGCGTTTGCGATTAAGACTACTCGACTTGCACACGACTTTGAGAAATGTGTAGTTTTTGCAAAGTTTCTGAGAGTGTGATTTGTGTGGTATTGAAAGGGGTTAGAAATGGTTGAGTAGTGTTTGCGGGGCAAAATTGAAGTAGTCATAAACTGGAAAGATCGTATCCGATTACATCGAAAATCTCAAAATACAACTACATCTCATTTACGTGATACAATAATTTATTAATTTAGACCGAAGAATCTCATCCAATCGTCTGGCGTCCCGAAATCATCAAGCGAAAAGCATATTAATGTGTTGTTTCTGTATTTATTTCATTTTTGTTATCTCATTGATTCATGTTTCTTAACTGATATTGAATAAATGTTATTTATTATATGGTCGAAAGTCAAATTGTCTGTTCATCGATATTCTATATGAAATACTTGGAAAGTAAATGAGTATAATTGGTTTCCCATTTAACGGTTCGTCTTTTAGTGTAAACTTGCTTTATCGATTCTAGTTCAACACTTTTTCAGAATGGCAAACAGAACAGTGAAGGATGCCTCTACAGTAAAAGGAACCAATCCGCAATTTTTGATCGAGAAGATCATTCGTCAACGTATCTATGACAGCAAGTTCTGGAAAGAAGAATGCTTTGCCTTATCAGGTAAAAGTTTATGAATTTTATCATTCAGAATTTATCACAGAATTTTTTTTCTATTTGAATTCTAAATTACGCATCTTTTCTGAAAGTAGAAATACCTTATAATTTGCTAGATAGTATCATAGATTCTTAACAATTCTTTTCTACCTTAGCCGAACTTCTCGTCGACAAAGGAATGGAACTACGATACCTTGGCGGAATCTACGCGGGAAACATCAAGCCGACTCCATTTCTCTGTTTGGTGCTCAAAATGCTTCAGCTTCAGCCGGATCGTGAGATTGTAATGGAGTTCATAAAACAGGACGAGTTTAAGTAAGTTTTTGAAAAAAGGATTAGGTTTAAAAAGTCACCGCACCTCTAAAGTTGATTTTTAGATATATTCGAGCTCTGGGTGCTCTATACTTACGAATGGCCTTCCCGTCGCTTGACATCTACAATTATTTGGAGCCATTGTACAGTGATTTTCGAAAACTTCGGATAATGAATCATATGGGCAGTAAGTTTTTAAAACTTCATTGTTAAACTAGCACTCTATTACTAGGATTCGAATTGATGCATATGGACGACTTTATTGATATGCTATTGCGAGAAGAGCGCGTGTTCGACATACAAATGCCACGCTTACAGGTAGCTTGTGGCTATTTTAATGGATAAAATCATTTTTAGAAACGAATCGCTCTTGAAGAAATAGCGGCCATCGAGGAGTACAAATCACCTCTTGACGAGGATCTTGGAAAGGTTTTGTTCTGGCTTTTTTATTAATCTAGATAGTTTTTTAGGTCTCCGAATCTGAATCAGACGATGATGATAAGGGCACGCGCAAAAAGGAGAGACCAAGTTTGATTAGCCGGAGAAGAAGCAGGTACATTTTGACAAAGATTTAAAGTATAAGTCACAACGAAGCTGCTTAGCTGTTACCTAAAGCATTTTCTGAGTTCATTCAGATCTCGGGAGCGTGGAGAGCGTGGAGAGCGTGATCGCGACGATCGAAAGAAAAGTGATAAGAAAGAAAGAGATAGGTTTGTATTGTATTTTATTTTTTTTGCTAATTTGTATCCGTTTTGGTCGTCAAAGCAAATTTTACTTTAGATCTCGTGAACGAGACCGTGATCGTCGAAGGCGCTCGAAGAGTCGTGAACGTGATGATAAAGGTGAGCTCGATTTTCTAGTCAAAATTAAAGACTTGCTGTCTGATCTTTAAAAGCTTGTTTCCATCTGACATATGAGTTAACTAATCGACATTTTTTGAGCGAACCTCCAACAATTTTTTTATTCAGATCGCCGTGATAAAGATCGAGAGCGTGGACGTGAAAAGGATCGTGGGAAACGGCAAAGCTCATTGGAGCGTGAAATCGATGAGGCGAACGCTCAACGCAAGCAACTCGGATTGGCCCCTCTACAACGATGATCTCTCGAAAATTTTTTTATTTGATTGTTTTAATATTAAGCTGACGTTAAACATTAAATATTTTATCAAACATTGAAAACGAAAGGGAACTGCAAAATAATTCACTTCAGCACAGAATTTTAGCCCTTATAGTTAATGTGGCCAAAGTTTCAGTTTAAATTATCAAATCTTAATGGTTTTAAAAGAAGTTAAATTTTTGAACTGGAAAACCCTACAATTAATGCAAGCAGGTGTGCAAATCTGAACAAATTGTTCCATTTCCTACTTTTTTACCTGAAGAGGTAAAGAATTAATAAAATTCCCCTATTCATCTCATCAAGAACTCATCATTCATCGCACGGACATCGACGAATCACTGAAGCTTCTAGCTTCTTCTTTTAGTTTTTTGTTTTTAGCGCAACACAGCGCGGTGTTTGTTCGCTTCCGTGTACTTTGATGTTTTTGTCATTTTCCACAATTCCGAGTATCAATTCTGAGACCAAAACTGAGAAAAAATTAGACACAAATTTATCATTCTTATTCGGTGCAAATCAATAAATTTTTTTATCTCAAAACACTAGGAAAGCAGAATAACTTAAAAAACACGCGAATCAAGAAATGGCGAATTTTAAAAATTGCACAAAACCGATAAAGTACTCACGAAATATAAGGGTTCGGTTCATCCGCTTTGCCAGGTCGTCTCATTTTCGTATTCAAAGCGGGAAGGGCATATGTGGGAACCTAGGGATAAAAGTTATTAATTCAGAAAATGATAGTGATTTACTCGAAGGGTTGCATGACGACGTCTTCTCACTGTATCCGTCTCAATGAATGGATTCGGGAAATCGAGTGGGGTCTCGGGTGGTAACATTCGCTCATTCGCCTAAATAAACATTTGATTTTTGAAAATCCAATAGTATTCTAATGAAAATTGGGCACTTTACATGATAGTCGTAGTTGAAAAATGAAACCCACTCCTCCTGCCGCCAATCTTGGCGTCTCCAATTCGACTGCAGCTTTTCGCTTTACTGAACGTGACACAACTAAATTTATCTTAAGACCATTTACCCTTTAAAAAAAATCACCTTTAGGAGTTTCAAGCGCTAATCTCTTTATTGGTTTCGCTGCTGATGTCGATGGTTGTTCGGCTTTCGGAGTCGCGTCCGGATCAAACGGCTCTTCCATGTCCTAAAATATAAGGCCTTAGCATCTTATCACTTTATCAAAAGATTCTTAAGAAACTGTAAATTGCTAATTGACTCATTAAATTCACAAGTGTCTTAAGCCTAGTTTGAGCAAGTAATAAAAAGTTACTACCTTTTTCGCTGAACGTCCTCGTCGAACAGTTGAAGCGGTCAATTTAGCCTCGACAAATTTGATCGGAGATTCCTCCACTAAAATTTTCTTATAAAAACGTGGTATTTACAAAGTGTGCTACCTCTATTTAAATCATTTGTCAACATCATTCGCCCTCCATTTGATGGCTTTGGCTCGGTCGTATCTTCAAAGTCGAGATCATTAAGTCTAAACAGAAATTTGATATAGTAGCTAGAACTTGGGGGATGTTACTAAATCATTTTGGGTTGCTAAGTCTGCTAAATTCTCTCTCAATAAATTAAAGTTAACGTTAAAAGAGACAGCATTATAAAAAGCATAGTTTAGAAAATCTTACCCAATATCGCCCAAAACATTTGTAAAGTCCTCTTTGTGCTTTTCCATCGTCTCGATGCAACGTTTAGAGATTTGCGTCAACTGGCCAAGTTTCTTCTAAAAGATCTAAATGTAATTAGAAAACAAACTGCATAGTTTCTTTTAAAACTAAAATTTTCAAAACAAAACCTTTAACCTTTCGTTCAAAATCATCTCCACTCGTTCATTCTCAGTTGCTGCCTCGAGCGCGTGGAGACGTTCACTAAATGATTAAATTTATTAATAAAATTTGTTTAAAACCTTAAGCGGAAGTTTTCCTTTCGCAGATCCTCGATTTGTCTTTTGCCGTTGGCCACCTCGAGCTTCAATTGTCGAATTTGTTGCACCATAATTTTGTTTGTTTGCTGATATCCGACTGGTACTAAAAAATAAAGTGATTCAAAGCATTTTAAAGATTTAATGGCTTCTATCAAAACCTCTATATAAGTAAAAATTGGACTTTACACTAACAGAACTTTTAAAAGTTAGCATAAAAATGACCTACCGTTATTTTCCTTATCAGCTACAGGAGCCTTGGAAGCGGTTTTCGGCGCGATTGAATCGAGCATCGTCGATCCGGAGAGCATTTTGAGAAGAGATTCACGGGAAATCGAGTGTTTCTTCCCATTCTCCGACATTCTCTAAAAAGTTAAAAGTTAACGTTAAAAGAGACAGCATTATAAAACAAAAACAGATTGTAAGAAAGAGAGAAATCATGCTATAAGTAATTTTAAAGAAATCTGCCTCACCAAAACCCCCATCAGAGTGAATTTTAGAAAAGTTACGTGGTTACTGGTAAGTGGTTACTAGAAAAGTTACTAGTAAATATCTTTCCGTAAAAGTAAAGTTAGAAAAAATAAAATGAACTTTTCTCTTCAGGAAACGAAAGGTTATAAAAGCTCGAAAAAATTTAGTGCAAAATAGAAAATGGCTTTCATTTTCATTTTCATAAACTTTCATTTCAGTTCCTAAAATGAAAATTTCTGAAATTTAGTAGAGCCTAGAAAATGACTACAATAAACAACAAAAATAAAATTTTGAGACAGATTTCCAGATTTCCGTGTTTTCTATTTGTCACTAACTTTATTTGATGATACTATTTCACCCCGGTTCCCTGTCATTTTACCGAAAAAGTATACGTTTTAGAAAATAGGTTCGATTAGGTGTTATGACGGGGGGAGAACCCCCAACCCCTCCCCCCCTTCCTTACTCCCTGTAGACTGTAAACAAAAAAATAGACAATATTATGTCAGAAATAAGGCTAGTAACATACAAGGAAATAAACAAGTTATTTTCTAAAGCGTGGACTTTTTTTTCGATGTCTTGCTCACCCCAAGCTTTCACACATAAAAAAAGCCCAATTTGAATCAAGCGGTCATTAGATGGGGCGCGTTTTAGAATGGAAAGATGAGATGCACAAAAAGAACGCCAAATGAAAGAAGAGATGCACAAAAAGAATGCCAAATCAAAAACTACACAGATAAACGATTAAATTATCAGATTATTGAGAAAATTAAAATTTCATTTTAAAGTAAAAAGCATTGGCACATAACGAGCGAGATTAGTGACAAAATTTAGTCAGTTCACCATTCTTCAGCGGATAATTTTGCCTTATTTTTCAAACTGCCTTTTTGAGAAACGATTTGAGAGGTCATTTTAGTGACCACTCGGGGAATAGCAATGCCTTCTAACGTTCGTGAACCGATAGCCAAGATTTAGTCACCAAATGCGTTTATATTCTTACTTTAACGGGGGTGGGACAAATGCGACCTTTTTTTTGCTGGAAAAGGCCTTAGGAAGGGTCGTAGAGCTTCGAAAATATTTCCATATAAGGGAATCGTATGCGTAGATTCCGAATTTCGACAAATCAGACCTCGCTGACACGTCAAATTTGGGCTAAAAGACAAAAACTACGCAACTTAACGCTTTTCCGCAGTTTTTGCCTTTTAGCCCAAATTTGACGTGTCAGCGAGGTCTGATTTGTCGAAATTCGGAATCTACGCATACGATTCCCTTATATGGAAATATTTTCGAAGCTCTAAGGCCTTTTCCAGCAAAAAAAGGTCGCATTTGTCCCACCCCCTACTTTAACACATTTCCACACGTTTTTAACCCAAAATTTCAAGATATTCAGTTAGTAAAAACAATTTTTCAACTAAATATCTCAAAATTTCGCCTTAGGCAAATTCTGTGGTCTTTTTTTTCTATTTTTAGCGAAAGAGAGCAAAGTTTTTACTTGATTAACTAAAGCTTTCATATCTGAAATTTTCTGTTTCAGTGGAAAAAAGAGCGAGAAGAAGGCGGCTTGAGCTGAATTCATGCTGATGCTTCAGATGGTGGTGCTCTCACTAAAAAGAAATAAAATGCTCTCATGCTTTTCGATTGGGTTTTACAGAAAGTCTTTGGGCACTATTCAAATTCAAAAAGACGGTAGACGCAGAAATTCCATGAGCTTGATGATTGCTTTAAAAATTCGGATTTCGACGGGAAATCAAATATGTTTTTTTTTGCCAATAACTTTCTTTATTATAGTCAAATATATAGGAAAAATTTCATGAGAATTTGATGAGTAGTTTTTGAGTAAACCGTGATTTTACATTTTACATTTTACAAACCGTAATTTTACAAGCGCTCAAAGACTTTCTATGAGATCTAATTTTAGAAGTTTTAACTGTATTCTTTCCCGAGATTTCATTTCTCATTTCAATTTTTTTTTTTGTTTCAATCATCTATTAAGCAATCGGCTTTTCTCTTTGACTTTTCTTGGGAAAAAGAATTTAATATACGTAGCTAATAGGTTGATGCATAAGTCTTTTCGTTTTTTTCGTACTTCTGTTAAAAAGTAACAAATTCACGAATTAATCTATAGTTTGCTCTATAAAAAAAAGTGTTTTTTTGTTCAATTTGCATCTTTTTAAATGAATTTCGGTTCACTTTCAAGCAGATTCGAGAGTGAAAAACGCCTTTTTCGTAAAAATCTATAAAAAACTCTACGGAAAAATTGGCTGAATGAATTTCTCTGAAATTTTGGCGAAATATCAAACGTTTTTTTTCTCTATCTTTTATCTATTGACACGAAGATAGGTTTTCTTTAGCTAAGGTGTCTAAACCGCATCATCGAGTTAGCCCTTTTTGACTACCCGACTTCATACTCTCAAGAAAATCCAGGCATTCAATATTTTTAAACCCGTTTTAATGTTATTTTGCAGAAAAATAATTGCTTTTTCTAATGAAATCAACCGTAGTTTAATTCGTGCATTTGTTGGCTTGAAACGGCAGACGAAAAGGAACAAAAACACTTATGCATCAACCTAATAGTTATCAGTCGACACAAGTTTTTTGTCTTCTATCTCGTCTCTGGGTGACAGGTTTATCGAAATTGACGGATAGCTTTTGACTTCATAACTTTGACTTTTTCTAGCATGGACTCTGAAAAAAACTTTTTGCAGCTCAATCTGCTGCTTATTCCTTCGAAAGTCAAAAGAAAGCCGAAGCAAACGATTACTGTGACTGCTTCATCTGCAAAAATCGAGTTGACAAGAGTTTGAATGAACTTTGCACAAATACAGATATTTTATCACAAGTATACGCAGAATTAAACGAAAACGTCAAAAGTTTTTTTCCCCTTTAATTTCTAATATGAAAAGCAGATTGAGAAAAAAGTTTTTTCTTCGAAAGGCTTAGTCAAACCAATTTTTGAACATCGTTTTAAAACATGACGGCTGGGCAAACGGTGGCCGGTGAACTCGTGAAATTAATAAAAAAAACCGCTCTTTCACTTTTCTCTAGATGTCAAACGTGTCACACAAAAAAATAAAGAGTCAGAGAGAAAACCTTTGCCTAGAATATAGTTGTTTAGTTAAATTTTAGTTAGAATATAGTTAAATTTAGTTAAATTTGGATGGTGATCGGTTAAAAGTCACGAATTTTTGAAATAACCAATTAAAGTATCTAAAAGTTTTATCACAAAAAGCTTTTGAATGTATTATTGAAAGAGGGTTTTTTTAGAAATTCAAAACTTTACTATTGGGGTGGAACTTTACAGTAGAACTTTCTGGCGATCACTCTGTAACATTTTTCTGATGTACCCGTGTTCAAAAGACTTGGGGTGGGGAGTATGAAATGGCGTTGACTTTTGAAAAAACATTTTTCTGGAACGCATAAAAGCTCCAGTATAGTTTTCATAGCTCCATTGTTTGTATAATCAAAAAAAATCTATATTTGCTCTACAAAATGGCTTTCGAGAGATTCCGAAAAACTTTTGCTTTATGGATTTTATGGGCTCCTAAAAGAAACCATTCAAAATGGGGTACCTAAACAAGGAGTCCGATTCGTCGTTTGACTCATTCCTTACACATAAACTTAATGACAAAAGAAAAAAGTTTGGTTTTATGGATTTTATGAGCTCCTAAACGCAACGAGTCAAAGTGGCAAGTCGTTTGACTCGTTTCTCACACATAAACTTAACGATGTCAAAATAAAAAAGTTAGAGTACATTTAATTATCGTATTTTCTCTAATAGTAGTGTACCCTAAGCGTCCCCTAAATTACTCGAAATCTCGAGAACCGCTTATCAGAATCTATCGATGTGGGGTCGGGAAATGTAGCTGACGATGAGATCTAGTGGGGATTTGAGGGTTGAGCTTCTAGCGAAAACTTTGGAAGCCGTAAATAGTCACCAACTCGGCAGGGTGCACTATTAAGGAATGCACCTTAAGGTTTGCCTAAATTCCTCGAAATCTCGAAAAGCGCTTATCAGAACCTATCGATGTGGGGTCGGAAAATGTAGCTGACGATGAGATCTTGTGGGGGATTTGAGTGTTGAGCTTCTGCAAAACCTTGGAAACGGCAAAATAGTGACCAACTCGGCTCACCGGGAAATATTAGGGAAATAGATGAGTCTGATCTACTAGCCTAACCTGGAATAATATACCGTTTTCTCTCTAATAGTAGTGCACCCTGAGCGTTGCCTAAATTCCTTGAAATCTCGAGAACCGCTTATCAGAGCCTATCGATGTGGGGTCGGTAAATGTAGCTGACGATGAGATCTAGTGGGAGATTAGAGTGTTGAGCTTCTGGGAAAACTTGAAACGGTAAAATAGTCATCAACTCGGCTCGCCGGGGTGCATTACTATTAGGATTTTATTTTACTATTAGAGAAAATACGGTAGTAGCCAAATTTTTGTAGTGATCTCGTCAGTCATTTTCTTTAAATAACGATTTGACGATAGATTTTCTGAAAAAATGATCTTTTATTGAATTGAAGCGCTTTTTGAGTTCTATTTCAAATGTGATTTTGTAGAGTGATAAGTGAGCTTTCTAATGATACTAACTTTAATAATGATACTAAAATTCTCCTTTAAGAAAAAGTGCACTTTTGGTCAGTGCGCAAAAAGAACGTCGCTTTTGTCCCAGCCTCCTAAAAAATTATTTAAAATTTCAACCGAATAGAATCAAAAACCAAATTAGGGTCAAGCACGAGAATCCACGTGTTTTTTCAACTAATCGACATTGGCTACAGTTGTGCAATCAAACGTTGCGGCCAACTATTAAAGGAGAACTCGCATTGAGAGAAAGCTGACCTTGGTTGGAGAGTCGTCTCCACGATTCTTCCTGAAGCACTGGATTCACCCGGATGATCTCCCCATTCTGTGCCATGGTTCCCGTCTGTTTCCTTCTTGCCATTTTGGTAAACTTTCGACATGTTCCACACAATTTATGAGTGATTTTGTTTGACGAATGATTCTAAAGAATATGATAGCTAGTCTTATAGTAAAGACTAGCTATCATATAGTAAATATGATAGCTAGTCTTATAGTCTTACAGTAGAACTTTCTGGCGATCACTCTGTAACATTTTTCTGATGTACCATTGTTCAAAAGACTTTCAAAAGAAAAAAAAGACAAAAATCCCTTGCCATAGTATAGTTTAAAACTTTGAAACTGTAAAAAACACTTTTGAAAAGATTAATTTCTAGTTCTACTGTACTATTTGTTACTTGGTTTTGTTATAAAAAGGTTTTTGAGAAGTTCTGTTAATGCTTTCTGTTTTAGCCTCTTTCCCTGGCCGCCTCAAATCAATTGGGATGCAGTCTTAACTTTGGCGATGATTTCCGCTACACTGCTGTCAACAATTTGAACATCTATCGGCAAATTGTGGCCAATGGAACGGCTCCGAATAAATGTGGAAGCCTGCCTGCCGCTAAGAATATGTACAAGCTTGTGAGTGAAATCGATGCCTGTTTAGTTGCCTGTTTTGTTCTCATTTCCAGTTCTACAACTGCGATCTCGAGTCTAAAGCCTATGCGTACACGTCAAGCTGTGGGTCGTCGTCAGTTCCATCGAACTCCATGAACTACATGACAATGTCCTCAGCTCCATGGACAGGAACAGCCGCCTCGAATATTCTCACCATTTTCCAGACTCATCTCAACGCAATTGTCACGAATGGAGCCCCGGCAAATGTCGCCTTCAGCGGTAACTCGGCTCTCAGCGGATGGAATAGCGTAAGCGTTTCTAAAAACAATTCACTAAAATCGAGCTTCTTTCAAGTATGTAACGGGCACAAAAACGGCTGTCGGATGTGCTGTCAACCCATCGTGCACATATTCAAATCCATCTTTCCCCTACATGATGGTGGTCGCCTGTGTTTTCGATACACCGTAAGGGAAATTCGATTTTTCTTTTGATTTTGACTTTCTCCCGGTGCTGTCATGGCCGAGTGGTTAGGAGTCTTGTATCCTGCTTGGTCACGGGTTCGATTCCAGCGGCTGGGATATTTGGCTCTTTTTTCTAAAGCTTTTTCCTCTGCAAGATCTTTAGGAGCAGTTAAGTTGAGTATTTGTTTGTGTCACATTCACGTTGAATAAATGTATGTCTACTTTTTAAAGAGCGAATCTTAGAGCCGCCAGCACGGGTAATCCATCCTATGAAGTGGGCACAAAATGCGCGGCTGATTCGGATTGTACAACCTATATGGGAAGCACTTGTGACACGACGACCGGTCTCTGTCAATATCAATTCGTCGGTGAGTGTTCGAAGCTTTGAAGCTTTGAAATCTTTGAAATCTTTGAAATCTTTTCGAAATCTATCAAAACTTTTTTGCAGACAGTGGCGCAAATACATTGTGCCCTGGATCGACGGCTGGATGGACGGATGCACAAAGAAATCTGATGCTCCAATGGCACAACCAGTTGCGATCGAGCCTTGCACAGGGAAAAGAAAAAGATGGTGGCTCCTATGCTAGCACCTATGCACCTGGATCAAAGACAATGACGCAAATGGTAACGCTTGCAATTTGGCACCAAAAAAAAATTCATTTACAGGCCTACAACTGTTCGGTGGAAATCAACGCTGTCAATAACGCGAACGGATGCGATTTCGCGCACACAACATCCGCGCAAAGACCAGGAATGGGCGAGAATCTGTACATGTCATCTGATGTGAATCAACCCGAAGCCACTGCTGCAGCTGCTGTATGAATATTTTCAAAAAACTAGACGCACTTTCATTTTCAGGCTCCCCAAGCGTGGTGGTCTGAGTTGCCGGATTACGGTTTTGGTCCGGATCTCAACCTGACTAGTGCTCAATTCAATCGTATAGCTCCCGCCCAAATTGGACACTATACACAGGTTTTTGAGAAGTTGACACTATCTAAAGCTCTCAAGTTTTAGATGGCTTGGCAGGAGACGACAACGGTCGGCTGTGCAATCAAGCACTGTCCAACAGGCACGATGAACGGAGTGGTGACGCCAATGACTTATGTCGTTTGTCAATACTATCCAGCGTCAGTTTTTAACAAAAATCTACCTATTGACTAGCATTTTTTTTCAGTGGCAACTACCTCAATCAAAATATCTACGTGAAAAGCACACAATTGGGATGTGCAACGAATGCCGACTGTGGAGCAGGAAGAACGTGCAACACAGTGAACAAACTTTGTGTTGTTTAAACGTTTGCAACAGCAACAAAAGAGCCTGCACATGTAAATACTAATAATTGTTATCTTTTCATAAAAAAAACGATGTGGACACATTTTCTACTTGTATTTTCGATGATCTTGAGAGTTTGTTTTTTCTGATAAATTCTATTTGTTATTCAACTTATACAAAAACGATGTGTGTTTAAGTTGAAGTCTGAAAACTTGAAAGTTTTTTAACTCTACAACTCTATAGTTTTTGAGTAAAGTATAGAAGAAAGACGTACCAGTTCAATTCGTTGCTTCTTCATCAACCGTCACTAAATGTATGAGCTGATCGACTTTATGAATGCAGAAAAGAACGCAAAAAGAATGTCAAAAGATGTTTTGATTGAAAAAAAAAATGACTTTTCTTAATTTCTAGTTTACTTTTTAATACTTGGACTACAAGTTTTCCGTTTTATTTTATGAAAAGACACTTTGAAGATCTGCAAAATTAGCAAAGGCTAGCAAAGGCTTAATTTTTGGTTTAATTACTATAGTTTAATTACTAATTGACCAACAAATGCTTCCTATAATGAAAACTTGTTCTGTGATCTGTTTTTCTAGAGTGCCGTCAGAGTAAGAAATACATAACTAAACCTCTTTAGTGATCGAATTCTCAATCGTGACTAGATATTTAAAGTTTCCTTTCATAGGTTTGACTGTATGTTTTTTTTTAGTTACTTCATCGATCACTCATCAGTCCAAAGGCTAAATCAATTTGCAATTGATGTGGTCGCTTTTATTTGAGGTAAAGCTTTGAAAAAGTTTTAATCCAATAACTTTAAGCTATTGTGGCTTTAGGCTTTGTGATTGTTGGCTTGTTGGGAGGCTTGTTGGGTGTATTTTTGTATAAAATTTAACAACAAATACTTATTGATACTTATAAACACATGCGCCGGTTGAAAAATGTTAGATGTTTGACGTATTATTAAAGGAAATGTCAATAAGTTTTCGCTCATAGTATTGATTTTTGGATTTATCATTGCTTTCAGTACGAAGTTGTTGCTGTTGTTGTTGTTGTTGTTGTTGTTATTGTTGTTGTTGTTGTTGTTCACTTGTTGTACAATGTTGTTCACTTGTTGTACAATGTTGTTCACTTAAAAAAGAAATTAAATGGCATAGAATGGAGATTTGTTTAATAACTATCAAACTTATACAGTAGCATTACCTTCGAAACTTGAGATCTACCAATGAGCGAAGCTGGCTTCTATGTACCCATTTTTGTTCTATGTACCCATTTCTCCAACGTTATTCAACGGTTGAAGCCCTAATAGACTTCATCATTAGCTTCAAGGTTTATTGATCTGGAATTTCTGAAATTTATTCAGTCAAGTTGACTTTCAACTGCTTAAAAGCTAAAACTGGTTTCATCAAATGTTTTAAGCTTATCGACGACGAGTTTTCGATTTATGAACCCCTCAGTAATCTATTCCAAAACGCACAGTTCAGCCACGTGAATGTCTAAGCTGATTGCCTATTCTTTTTAAATAAAGAATAAGATGTCAAATAAAGGATAAATCTTTTGATTTGTGCAATAGTTCTTACAAGCAAAGCTTTTATGAGGTGTTCTCCCATTTTGTTGTTTTCTTTACTGAGTAACAAGTAGAAGTTTATCGCCTTCACAAAAACTCTCACAATCAGCATTAACTTGTAGATTGAGTTGTTTTGATAAAACGTTCCTCCATTATTCAACAACATCATCCCATGTGAATTTTTCATGTTTCAATCTCCCATGTTGAATCTTTTTGGCGGTAATTGAACAATTACACAATTCTCAACGTAAAAACGTTTTCTTTGTTGGCAAAATGTAGGAAAAGTTTCCGGTTCAAATCGTGGACTGTGGAGCGGCTGAGTTTTGCTGTTTGTCGACTAGAGTGTTTTCCTTTCGAATAACGCGTTTTCTAAAATGCACCTATTTGAAAAAAAACCACCGTAGTCAAACTGCCAATTTACATCCGATCAGCTCAATTTTGGTATCATTTGATGAGGAAACACAAGGCTCAGTCAATGATTTAAAAATTGGATTGCTCTGATGAAAACTAACGGCTTGAATACGGTACTTTCCTCAAATAGGTGCATTTTAGAAAACGCATTAGTCGAGAGGAACACACTCTAGTGTCAATGAGCATTATCGTAGAGGAGAATCACTTTTTTCAAAATGCGACGTTTTTCTTGATTTTTTTTCATCGATTTTTTGGGTATAATGAAAGCATTAATCTGTTTATTTTCGAGAAGTTCTCAATAAATCACCCCTTGAAGATCCCAAAAAAAACTGATAACATTTACTTCTAGTACGGATCGGGTAGGATATCCTTTGCGGCAGTAACTCCAGGCCCTACCCATTGACGTTTTCCTTGAAAGTTCACCGTTCCTTTTCACTTTTCATTCCCGGTTATTAGCTGAGATAAAAATCATCATCATCATCATCATTCATTTCAAAATCTACCGTTAACAATCGACATGTACCAACAAAAAAAAAGTAGACAATAAAAATCATGTGTTTAAACACTTCAAAATTGCCTCGGACTTTACATTTCCATCCAATAAACGAAATTGATCAAATGAAATTGTCCCAAAGCTCTTTAATTTAAGTTCTATCTGATTTACTCTCATTTATGATGTTTTCTCTGATTGATTGAGCAGTTTTTTTTGAGAAATTTATTCGTTTTACCATTAGAATAAACACGTTTACAAAGTAGACTTTAAAAATTTAGAATAAGTTAACAAGTTTCATGGATGACTGGTCAAGATCTTATTTCCCGGGTTTGCCGGCGGTTTGTTGGGCGGTGTTGGCGGCGGCAGCAGCATGCGTAGCACTTTCGGGGTTAGACACATTCGAGTGGTCGTTGAGATTGGCTGTCCGCATCAGATTTCTCAGTGCATCCGTCCATCCGGCCGTCGATCCGGGGCACGACGTATTTGTGCCACTGTCTGTAAAAAGTTTTGATAGGTTTCAAAAAGATTTCAAAGCTTCGAACACTCACCGACGAATTGATATTGACAGAGACCGGTCGTCGTGTCACAAGTGCTTCCCAAGTAGGTTGTACAATCCGAATCAGCCGCGCATTTTGTGCCCACTTCATAGGATGGATTACCCGTGCTGGCGGCTCTAAGATTCGCTCTTTTAAAAAGTAGACATACATTTATTCAACGTGAATGTGACACAAACAAATACTCAACTTAACTCCTCCTAAAGATGTTGCAGAGGAAAAACATTTAGATGGGAAAAAGAGCCAAATTTCCTAGCCGCTGTGATCGAACCCGTGACCAAGCAGGATATAAGACTCCTAACCACTCGGTCATAACAGCACCGGGAGAAAATCAGAAGAAAAATCGGATTTCCCTTACGGTGTATCGAAAACACAGGCGGCCACCATCATGTAGGGGAAAGATGGATTTGAATATGTGCACGATTGGTTGACAGCACATCCGACAGCCGTTTTTGTGCCCGTTATATACTTGAAAGAAGCTCGATTTTAGTGAATTGTTTTTAGAAACGCTTACGCTATTCCATCCGCTGAGAGCCGAGTTACCGCTGAAGGCGACATTTGCCGGGGCTCCATTCGTGACAATTGCGTTGAGATGAGTCTGGAAAATGGTGAGAATATTCGAGGCGGCTGTTCCTGTCCATGGAGCTGAGGACATTGTCTTGTAGTTCATGGAGTTCGATGGAACTGACGACGACCCACAGCTTGACGTGTACGCATAGGCTTTAGACTCGAGATCGCAATTGTAGAACTGGAAATGAGAACAAAACAGGCAACTAAACAGGCATCGATTTCACTCACAAGCTTGTACATATTCTTAGCGGCAGGCAGGCTTCCACATTTATTCGGAGCCGTTCCATTGGCCACAATTTGCCGATAGATGTTCAAATTGTTGACAACAGTGTAGCGGAAATCATCGCCAAAGTTAAGACTGCATCCCAATTGATTTGAGGCGGCCAGGGAAAGAGGCTAAAACAGAAAACATTAACAGAACCTTTCAAAAACCTTTTTATAACAAAACCAAGTAACAAATGCGGTAGTACAGTAGAACCAGAAATTACTCTTTTCAGAATTGTTTCACTCGTTTTAAACTATACTATGGCAAGGGCTCCTCTGAAAGTCTTTTGAACACGGGTACATCAGAAAAATGTGCCAGAGTGATTGCCAGAAAGTTCTACTGTACTCATATTTCCTATGAGACTAACTACCATACTCTTGAGAATCATTCATCAAACAAAATTACTCATAAATTGTGTGGAAATGTCGAAAGTTTACCAAAATAGCAAGAAGGAAACAGACGGAAACCATGGCACAAAATGGGGAGATCATCCGGGTGAATCTTCAGGAAGAATCGTAGAGACGACTTTCCAACCAAGGTCAGCTTTCTTTCAATTCGATTTCTCCTTTAATAGGTTGCCGCATCACATGATAAACTTTAAAGTGTACAAAAAGATACGATCCTTTGAATTAATCAAAAAAAAAGATACGAAATGAAAGTCATCACCCGAAACTTGACTCCGCTATCAAATGAGCTGTACACCGGTGCTCATTTTTGAAAACTTTTCTCTCTCTAACAATTATAAAAAAGTCAACTGCCTCAACTCCCTAAAGACTTTCCATTAAAAGATTCTCAAAAAAGTTTTCTCTTTTCTCTTCTTGTTTTAAAGATTGAGTAATTGAGATTCTGAGAAAAGATTTTCGCTTTTTTTTGTCAAATTTGAAATCCTTTTCCTAAAACTTATTTATCCTCTGAAAAAATGCAATCGTATTTCAAGTACGGTTACCTCGAGTCGAGTCCAAAGTACTTCTGTGTGTAAGTACTCTTTACGAGAAATTAATTAACAGTCATGTGAAGATCTAAAATCTCTCAAATTCTGTCATTTGTTTTTTTCAGAAATGTGACGTTAACCTTTGAGGAATTGTCAGCTAGACATGTGAAACGTTCATTTATTGAGCTTCTCTTCATTATGGTCGGCGTTCTCTTTAAAGTGAGAAGAAAAAGTGAAGAAACAGGGTACTTCTGCCCTAACCGTTTATCCAGATTTTCAAAAAAAAAAACCGGCCTTGCAATGCATAAGTATGCATAAATATGCAAAAGTAGATAAATCTTAAATCTTAAATCCTATCGTTTCTTTCAGATTGCTGATATCCTATCACTGTCGGTGATTTGGAACAGTGATCTGCTGAAGATGTCCTGTTTCAAATTAATGTTTCCTCTTGGTAAGTGTGTTTGATCAAAAAAAATAAAACCTTGATTTTAATGACAATTCATTTCCAGGTGTGCTCGACTGTTTGACGATTATTTTGTGCAACTTTTATACAGGCTATTTGTATGTGATCGATTTCGAGTACTGCATGTATCCGTATACGAGCTACTTTGTCGGAGTTCTGCTAGCCAGTGATCAACAACATAAAGATTGTCAAAAAAGAAACAAACTTTTTCTAGTTGTTGTCAACTCATGTTTTATGCTTAGTCTGCAACTTGGTTTCAATCATTTTATCGATGTGTGGAGAGCTGAAATTGGAGATTTACTTTTCAAGGTATTTTACGAATGTGATTGACTCTTTCGAGTCGGATTTGAGTGATTGAACTATTCGATATCGATAAGGCCTCGATAAAACCCTCGATAAGGCCTCGATAAGACCTCGATAAGGCCTCAATAAAGCCTCGATAAGTTATTGATAAGTTGTCGATTGTTACGATTTTTTCATTTATTATTTTCATGGAGGGAGCTTACGTTTGCTTTCGTGATTTTACAGTCCAAAAAATTAGGAATTCAACCCATGAAATGAGATTTTTTTTGACTAAATATCTTTTCAAGGAGCACATTTTGAGATATTCATTCAAAAAGAAGTGCACTTTTGAGAGAGTTGATCGAGAGAGCGCAAAAAATCGGCGCATGTCGTAGTCGTTGACGAAATTCAGCCGCTAACGAATCATTCGTAAACGGCTAGCAAAAAATTTCATTCGTTAGCGGCTGAATTTCGTAAACGGCTACGATATATATATTAAATTTAAATTTCATTGCTACCGCACTTGGATATTCTTCATTGCTTTTCTATTTGGCATGCTTGGAGCAGAGTTTACGATTCCAGCATTTTTTAATGCAGACTACGGCACTTTCATCTTTCATCCGTTCATTCCCGGAAAAGAAGAGCTTCAGGTTTCTAAGTTGGCAAATATTTGTATCGTTTTTTTTTTGTTTATCAGTACACATCGATTTTTCAAACGACCACAAACACCGTTGTGTCGATAGCGATTTCCCTGTGCTACATAGCGATCTACAGCTCGTATATGGCAAAAGTTCGACTCGGCACCAGTCAATCGCAAAATCGATTTCAAAGAAAAGTAAAAAAGATAAACTTGCATAAAATAACTAATAAATGAAAATATGAACTTTTTAGATTCTCATCGAAACGATTCTCGTCTGTCTTCCCACCCTTTCCACAGCCTCTCTTTGGGCATCATTTGCTTTCGTTTATCCATCCGATTTTCTAATGCATTTAGCGCATTTGAGCTGGCAGCTTATGCATGGTAAATGTGAATTTCGGATAAACAGACAATAGTTTACAAGCTAATTTTGCAATTACTCGAGCAAAGATCTGAACACTTTTAGGCATGCCGGCTATCGTTTATCTGTTCGTGAATAAAACGATTCAGAAACGAGCATTTCGAAGGGTAATTTCAATGTTTTTTTTCATAAAGAAACACTAGAAAATTTAATTTGTTTATTGAAAATTTGTTTAGCCAGCTGTCTGGTTGAATCTATCGGTTTCTCGTGGTGGATCCTATGCAGATAAAGTCCAACCGATACCGTTAACAACAACAGAAAACCAATCGATCAACGCTCTAAAATATTGAGACTTAGTCCTGATAAACTGTAAAAATTAAATGATAAAATTATAAATGTGAAGCTGTTGAACGCTGATTTTATTATTTTAAATTTATGTCACGTCTAATTTCAATTTGAATTTAAAACAATTAAAAACTACGCTAGTTAACTTTCAAAAAACCCCTTAAAAAGTCCGACCATTATCGAGGCAAATCACTAACGGTTCAATTCAGTTTTTCAGCAAGTAATTCAAAAGCTCAATCATTGATGACCAGACTCTTCATAGCTCTCAAAAAGCTCTCAAAGCTTTTCCCATTTTCTACACAAAACCCACGAGAGTCTAGTTTTAGATTACGCGTTTTACTAGGTTTCTCTAAAACCTCGAATTATTATTTTGTGTTATCAATACTTGTGACGATATCAATACTTGGAGACGAATTCGCCAATCACGTTAATTTAGATTCTATCTGATTTTCTGATTGATTGCATAATGTTTTCTCTGATTGATTGAGCAGTTTTTTTTTCAGAAATTTATTCGTTTTACCATTAGAATAAACACGTTTACAAAGTAGACTTTAAAAAATTTACAATAATTCAACAAGTTTCATGTATGACTGGTCAAGATCTTATTTCCCGGGTTTGCCGGCGGTGTTGCCGGCGGTTTGTTGGGCGGTATTGGCGGCGGCAGCAGCATGCGTAGCACTTCCGGGATTGGACACATTCGCGTGGTCGTTGAGATTGGCTGTGTGATGCTGAAATGAACTCATTCTATTCTGCAAATTTTCTAGATCCTTTAGCAAATGTGACTATTTCAACTTAAGTTCAAAAAGCCACTTATAAAATGTGCATGTTTGCGTTATTTGTCAAGAACAGAATGCAAACAATTCTTCTTCATTAAACTGCTATGCTATGGGTAAAAATAACTGTACACAAAAAAGTGACTTCATAAAAAAACCAACTGAATAGTTTATAGCTTAATTAAATTTTCTAGTAAAAGATTAGAAAGACTTTGCTCACCGCGTTGTTTCCACCACCGCCGTGAGCCGCATTGCCGTGAGCTCCCGAGTTTCCAGTATACGGCTAAAAGGAGAAATTTCTTTTCGAAGAGAATTAAAGCTACAATTTATCTCAAAGCTTATAAACAGTTCGTTTCATTCGATGCTCAGACAATGCGTCTACAATGTAAACCTATGGAGCTTTTCAAAGAACCAACCTGAGGAGGGGCGGGCATCGCTGCTTGACGTTGATTCCAAGTGGGAAGATAGAGATTGTTGAGTCGATTTCTAGTGATTTCTGCACAAATTTCTTCGGCTTTTATACTTGAATTAGCTCGTGTAAGCAAAATTCTCCCCTTTTTGTTTTGGGGGGAAAGCTTCAAAGGCTGTACATTTCTTGTTTTTTTTTTTTTTTTTTTGTATTTTTCGCTCAATCACCAGCTGCGCGAATTTTTTCTAAACAAGCGGCGTTCTTTCACATTTTCTTTCTGTGAAAAACAAACTTTCCAACAGTTCTTATCTTCAGTGAGTCATTGCTTCAGAAAAAAAAAAAAAAACAAAAAATGTACAGCCTTTGAAGCTTTCCCCCAAAACAAAAAGGGGAGAATTTTGCTTACACAATAAATTTTGCTTACAAAATAAATGTACAGATTTAACATTTCAAAATCCCAAATTCCAAAATCTGTACATTTCTTGTTTTTTTTTTTGCTTAAAGCAATGACTCACTAAAGATAAGAACTGTTGAAAAGTTTATTTTTCACATAAAAAAATGAGAAAGCCGCTGTAAGCCATGTAAAAGCCTTGTAATTCCTCATCAAATGATACCAAAATTGAGCTGATCGGATGTAAATTGGCAGTTTGACGACGGTGTTTTTCTCAAATAGGTGCATTTTAGAAAACGTTAGAAAAACGTCAGAAGGAATACCACTCTAGTCGACAAACAGCAAAACTCAGCCGCTCCAAAATCCACGATTGAAACCGCGAACTTTTGCCACATTTTGCCATTAATGAAGAGGGATTGTTTGCATTTCGTTCTTAACAAATAGCGCTAGAGTTTGTTCCTCGCGAGTAAGTAATTACTCGAGGGGAATTTGCATGAGTAATTTTCGAATAATGCACTTTCTAAAAAGTGTGCCTGAGCGAAAAAAATATAAAAGCTATTTTTTGCGCAGGTTTTTCAAAACAAAAAGCATTTTTTACATTTTACATTTTACATAGAAGGGAATTTCCCCACCAAATCAGTTAAACGGCTGAGTATCTTTAAAAAGTGTCGTATATAATGCGGGGCTCGTGATATTTGTGTCATTTTTTTTGCAATAATTTTTACTAAAAGTACGGTAATTTTTCCGCAAGTGTACGTTTTTAAAAAACGCATTACTCGCGAGGAACACACTCTAAGTAGCGCAAACATGCACGTTTTATAAGTGGATTTTTGAACTTAAGTTAAAATATTCACATTTGCTAAAGGATCTAGAAAATTCGCAGAGTGTGTTCATTTCAGCATCACGCAGCCAATCTCAACGACCACGCGAATGTGTATAACCCCGGAAGTGCTACCCATGCTGCTGCCGCCGCCAACACCGCCCAACAAACCGCCGGCAAACCCGGCAAATAAGATCTTGACCAGTCCGACATGTAACTTGTTCAATTATTGTAAATTTTTTAAAGTCTACTTTGTAAACGTGTTTATTCTAATGGTAAAACGAATAAATTTCTGAAAAAACTACTCAATCAAGAGAGAAACATCATGCACAGTAAATCAGATAGAATATAAATTAACGTGATTAACGAATTCGTCTCCGAGTATTGATATCGTCACAATTATTGATAACACAACATGATAATTTGAGGTTTTAGAGAAACCTAGTAAAACGCGTAATCTAAAACTAGACTCTCGTGGGTTTTGTGTAGAAAATGGGAAAAGCTTTGAGAGCTTTTTGCGAGCTATGAAGAGTCTGTTCATCAATGATTGAGCTTTTGAATTCCTTGCTGAAAAACTGAATTGAACTGTTAGTGATTGGCCTCGATAATGGCCGGACTTTTTAAGGGGTTTTGTAACTCAACTAGCGTAGTTTATTGTTTTGAATTAAAATTAGATGAGACATAAATTTAAGAGAGTAAAACCACGGTTCAACAGCTTTACATGTACAATTTTATCATTTAATTTTACAGTTTATCAGGACTAAATCTCAATATTTTAAAGCGTTGATCAATTGGTTTTCTGTTGTCCTGTTGATAAATCTGTTATCCCCATTTGGCACGGCATTGGTTGGATTTTATCTGCATAGGGTCCACCACGAGAAGCTGATAGATTCAACCAGATAGCTATCTAAAGCTTTTCAATAAACCATTTCATTTTTTTAGTGTTTCTTTATCAAAAAAAACATTGAAATTACCCTTCGAAATGCTCGCTTTTGAATCGTTTTATTCACGAAAAGATAAACGATAGCCGGCATGCCTAAAAGTGTTCAAATCTTTGCTTGAGTAATTGTAAAATGAACTTATTGTTTGATTATCTGAAATTCTGATTTACCGTGCATAAGCTGCCAGCTCAAATGCGCTAAATGCATTAGAAAAGCGGATGGAGAAACGAAAGCAAATGATGCCCAAAGAGATGCTGTGGAAAGGGTGGGAAGACAGACGAGGGTTGTTTGGATGAGAATCTAAAAAGTTGAAATTTAATTAGTTGATATTTAATTAGTTAGTTTATTCAATCTTTTCTACTTTTCTTTGAAATCGATTTTGCGATTGACTGGTGCCGAGTCGAACTTTTGCCATATACGAGCTGTAGATCGCTATGTAGCACAGGGAAATCGCTATCGACACAAAGGTGTTTGTCGTCGTTTGAAAAATCGATGTGTACTTACAAAAAAAAAGATAGTTGATATTTGCTATTTGCTGAAACCTGAAGCTCTTCTTTTCCGGGAATGAACGGATGAAAGATGAAAGTCCCGTAGTCTGCATTAAAAAATGCTGGGTTCGTAAACACTGCTTCAAGTATGCCAAATAGAAAAGCAATGAATACAAATATCCAAGTACGGCAGCCATGAAATTTAAATTTATATATATGTTGTGTCCGATTTAGATTTCCGTCCGATTTAGATTACAGTCTATATCGGACGTCCGATTTAGATTGAACTTATCGCTGACGTCCGATTTAGATTACAGTCTATATCGGACGTCCGATTTAGATTCAACCTAAATCGGACGGAAATCTAAATCGGACACAACATATAAATGGATAAACCTAACAAATTAGTAAATAGAATTCGATCATTTTCAATGAGTAGTCCGGCTTTAAAGGCTTATAAATTTCTTTAAAGAAAATCTTATCGAAAGTTTTGTAGAGGAAAGTTCAGGTTTTAAAATGCTATTAAATTGAACTTGTTTGATTATCTAAATCACAGGAAAATCGATGCACAAGGAATTGCCTAGTCTATTAATCGTGTGGCTTTATTCAACGTTAGCTTTTTCTCTCTCGTTACTTATTTGTTTAATCAAGTATTATTTAGGGGGTGGGACAAATGCGACCTTTTTTTTGCGCACCTGGACACTTGCGCACCTTTTTTTTTGCTGGAAAAGGCCTTAGGCAAGGCCGTAGAGCTTCGAAAATATTTTCACAGAAGGGAATCGTATGCGCAGATTCCGAATTTCGACAAATCAGACCTCGCTGACACGTCAAATTTGGGCTAAAAGGCAAAAACTAGGCAACTTAACGCTTTTCCGCAGTTTTTGCCTTTTAGCCCAAGTTTGACGTGTCAGCGAGGTCTGATTTGTCGAAATTCGGAATCTACGCATACGATTCCCTTCTATGGAAATATTTTCGAAGCTCTACGGCCTTGCCTAAGGCCTTTTCCAGCAAAAAAAGGTCGCATTTGTCCCACCCCCATTATTTAAAACTAATACTTAAGTAATGATTTTTTAAAAGTATTACTTAAAAGTTTGCACTGTTCTTTAAAAAAACTTGTATGAAATTAAGGGTAAGAGTGCAGTTTACCCGCCCACCACAAAAATTTTTCGAAAACCACTTCTCTGAGGGTTTTCAACCATGCTGAATCCAAATAACATAGTCTCGATCACCGAAAACGAAAAAATTTTGCCTTCGGGGACCAAGGCAAAATTTTTGAGGACAAAACTCGAAGTTTTTGTGTTGGGCAGAGGGATCTAGCTCAGTTGGGTAATATTATTTCTGTGCGTTCTCTGCGCGTCACGTGGCTTCCGGCCACTTAAAAAAAACACTGTGATGCAGGTCACTTCCCGGCCGCGCATCACGGGCGCCGTCGTAGTTGGAAAATCATGAAACAACTCGCTAATTCCGGTCATCCTAGTAGGTGGTAGTAAAATCGGTATAAAATCAACACAAAAAGCTGAAAAAAAAGGGTTTAACTTTTTACCGTCGTCCCTCAAGGCAAAATTTTTTGTTTTCAGTGCTTGGGACTATGTTATTCGGATTCAGCATGGTCGAAAACCCCAAAAAAGTGGTTTTCGAAAATTTTTATGGGGGAGGGGGTAAACTGGACTCCAGCGAAATTAAGAGTAATATTGCGGGGGGGCAAATGCCCAGACTTTTTTCCACACTCTCTCAAAAGTGCACTTTTTTTGATTGAATCTCAAAATGTGCCCATTGAACAGATATTTATTCAAAAAAAAATCTCATGTCATGGGTCGAATCCCTAATTTTTTGGACTGTAAAATAACGAAAGCCAACGTAAGCTCTCTTCATGAAAATAATAAATCCAAAAATCGTAACGATCGACAACTTCTCAATAAGCTTATCGAGGCTTTATCGAGGCTTTCTCGAGGCTTTATAGAGGCTTTATAGAGGCTTTATAGAGGCTTTATAGAGGCTTTCTCGAGGCTTTATAGAGGCTTTATAGAGGCTCTCGAGGCTTTTGTCGAGGCTCTATCGAGGCTTTATCGAGGCTTTTGTCGATATCGATATCGATATTTCAAATACTCAAATTCGACTCGTAAGAGCCAATCCAATTACTAAACTACCTGGAAAAGTAAATCGCCAATTTCAGCTCTCCACACATCGATAAACCGATTGAAACCAAGTTGCAAACTAAGCATAAAACATGAGTTGACAACAACTAGAAAAAGTTTTTTTTTCCTTTTTTCACAATCTTTATATTGATATCACCGGCTAGCAGAACTCCAACAAAGTAGCTCGTATACGGATACATACAGTACTCGAAACCGATCACATATAAATAGCCTGTATAAAAGTTGCACAAAATAATCGTCAAACAGTCGAGCACACCTGAAAATGAATTGTCATTGAAATCAAGGTTTTCTTTTTGTTTTTTATCCGACACACTTACTGTTCGGAACTTTTTCCGATAAAGTTTATTTCTCTTTGAAATCTATCGATCAATGTTCCCTCTGAATCATCTTTTTTCTCCAAAATCTTTCCACGATTTCCCCCAGCCATAAGCTAGCCATTTTCTACATTTCTAAACATTTCCCCCTCAACTTTTCTGTATGTAAACCCTTCTGTGCTTTAAAAAAATATTCTGCCTGAACCAAGGGATAGAGACACATCTTATCCCGAACACCCACTCTTTAAGCTCAACAAACCGGCACAATGGCTCCAATTTTAAGATTTTAAGATTATCCCGAACAGAAGTGTTCAACAAGAACAAGAACGAGATTATTGTTGGTTTGGTCCTACCAGGACAAAGTGCTCACAGATGCAACTGTAAAAATAATCTAGAAAGTCTAGAAATCTAGAAAGTCGAGTTTTTTCCAATTCCTATGCAGTGCTTTCTTGACGTTCAAAATTATTGCCTTTTTGTATTGTTGCTTGCCTAGAAATGGTGGTGGAAAGTGGAATAAATTGAGTTTTCCACAAATTCTCGTTAATCTTTCTTAGAAAAACGAAAACTGAAATGTGATTCGAACGTTTTTAATGTCTCGTAGATTTGGAAAACCCTTCTGTGCTTTAATAAATATTCTGCCTGAACCAAGGGATAGAGACACATCTTATCCCGAGCACTTACCAAGAGCAAACATTAGTTTAAAACAGGACATCTTCAGCAGATCACTGTACCAAATCACCGACAGTGATAGGATATAAGCAATCTGAAAAAAACGATAGGATTTAACATTTATCTACCTTTTTTCGAAACTTATGCATTACAAGCCCGGTTTTTTTTTTGAAAATCTGTATAAACGGTTAGGGCGATGCAGAAGTACCCTGCTTTTTTTCACTTTTTTTTCTTCTCACTTCAAAGAGAACGCCGACCGTAATGAAGAGAAGTCCAATAAATGGACGTTTCACATGTCTAGCTGACAATTCCTCAAAGGTTAATGTCACATTTCTGAAAAAAAATAATAATGACAGAATTTGAGAGATTTTAGATTTTCACATGACTGTTACTTAATTTCTCTTAAAGAGTACTTACACACAGGAGTACTTTGGATTCGACTCGAGGTCACCGTACTTGAAATACGATTGCATTTGTTCAGAGAATAAATCTTAGGAAAAGGATTTCAAATTTAACAAAAAAAAGAACCGAAAATCTTTTCTCAGAATCAGAATAAGAATTCAAATTACTCAATCTTTAAAACAAGAAGAGAGAAAAGAGAACTTTTTGAGAGTTTTTTAATGGAAAGTCTTTAGGGAGTTGACTTTTCTGGAATTGTTAGAGAAAGAAAAAGTTTTCAAAAATGAGCACCGGAGTACAGCTCATTTGATCGCAGAGTCAAGTTTTCGGGTGATGACTTTCATTTCGTATCTTTTTTTTTGATTAACTCAAAGAATCGTATCTTTGTGTGCACTTTGAAGTTTACCATGTGAAAAGAATCGAACATTGAATTGAATTTTAATAATATATCATGAAAATTTTCAACTTACTTGTATAAGTCGTAGGCTTTGTAACTTGTAAATTTTACAACTTGTGTAATGCCGTGTGAAATCAATCAAGGGGAAGGGGGACTCCAAATGAGAGTCTCACTTGTCCTCCTAGGCAATCCCAAGGACCGCCCCTTCTCGGCGATAAAAGGGATAAACACAGGGGAGAACACATTTGCATAAGAATCGACAAATCATTCAATAATAACGATAGTAACTAAAATATCAGTTTGGCTCGGAGCTGACAATCATGAAAATTTTCAACTTACTTGTATAAGTCGTAGGCTTTGGAACTTGTAAATTTTAAAACTTGCGTAATGCCGTGTGAAATCAATATTTTTTTTCTCTTGTCCCAATTCCTTCTCTTGTCTAACATTTATACAGAAAGTGTCGATGAGCTGAGGGTAATATATATATATATATATATATATGCTTTATTCAGTTGAATAGCGACAAAACAAAATCACAATAATTACCCAGGACACCACTCAAAACACACCCAAAAGATAAATAGATACCTCAAGAAAGAATCACAGAGCAGTCAAGTCAATTGCCGAAATTGCGGCTTTAAATCTAGCCAGGGTGGGAATATCACGAAAATGAGGGGGTAAAATCTTCTAGAATTTAATAACTCGATGGGTAATAGTAAGTAATATAGTAAGTGCTTTTCTTTTTGATCTCTGGTCTACTGGTAAATGAGAATTTTTTTTACTGAAATTTCTACACAACTAAATATGACTAACATTTGACATTAACACCAGCAAATCCTCAATTTAGGAAGATCGACACAGTGGAGTGGAAAAGAATTGGTTAATTTAGAGGTCATCGAATCAACTCATATTCAAATTTCAAAGTGATCTCCCTCGAAGAGTTCACACAGATGACCGGTAAAGCTGTGGCGATTCGTTGGCAAATTTGGACTTTTTGAAAATTGTCATGTTTAGACTGCACGTGCGCCACATCAAATCAAATTCCACCCGACATTCTATTTTTGATGGAATAATTGTTGTTAAAAAAAGCCATTTAGAAAACACAGTTTGTTAAAAATATCAAATGTGTTCTAAAAAGTTTTTTCCTTTTTTCTTAATTCTCTTGATGTCATTTGGACAATGTTCGAAGAATGAGGTATTCCGTTAAATGGTTAAAGAAACAATGGTTAAAGGAGTATTTCGGTCCCCAGCAGAATCCGATTTTAGCTTCGAACCATTATAAGCCGTTCTCAGCGTCTAGTCTACGCTACCGGTTTGGCCGATTGGTTAGCGTTCTTGCCAAATAGGTGAGCGCCATGACAATTTCCCTCCAGCGCACTACAATGCTTCTTCGGAGAACTAGATGGCTCTGAACAGAATGGTGTAGAAATGCTCTCCAGAATTTCAGCTTCAAAATACTAGATAATAAGTCGTATTTCGAGCTGGGTTTTAGCTGAAAAATGGGGATTCTTTTGTAAAGTGTGCAGGAACTTTTTGATCACCCTGTATTATAATTTTTAACAGTTGTCTTTAAATGTGTGTCTGTTACTAAGTTTTCTCTTCACCAGTTGAGTACAGCGGTACCCGAGGCATGTAACTAGGGGTAATCGGGAGTAGGGAAGACGAGAAAATTATCAGATGCCTATCAGATGCAACTTTTTTTGATAGCAAAAAACTGGAAGTTGATTAGAATAGGTAGGGAAGGGAAGAGTGTGTGATAGGAGTGATATAATGGTAGTAGCATTTGAGTAAGCAGTTTGCCACGATCCCTAATCCACGCCAAAGAAGAAACCGCCTTCAGGCGCCTTTTTTTGCCGATAACTGCTTTAGCAAACTAAAGTTATCGCCGATAACTGGCGATAACTGCTTTAGCAAACTAAAATCGGCTCAAAAAAGATAGGAGGTAGCAGGATCACTTGGCAAAATATTCTCAAACTATTCTGAGAATTCTTAAAGAGTACCTGAAGAACAAAGACTTTATTTTAATAAGCTTCGTGTTTAAAAGTGTGTTTATTAGCTTAAGAAAAGCTTAACGAAAGCACCAAGAATGATCGTTTGTGAGGAGTTAAAAGTATTTCTTTAATCGAAAACATGAACTACTGTTTAGGCATCTTATCTCAGCCACATCGACAGTCATCGTCACTTGATGCTGTTCGATCAATGCAAAGACGGATGCGGGAAATTCCTCTGTTGGATTGGAAATGTGATTTGTTGGGCAGCTGGTTGTTGTCTTTGAATAAATGCAATCGAAACGTTGTTGCCACAAAGAAAACTTTCATTTTGATACACACTGATTGCTTTTCTTTTATTGTAAATACTTTCAAACATCATCAAAAGACCACAGCATGATATGTTAAAAAGAAAAAAAACTTTTTCTAGTTGTTGTCAACTCATGTTTACTGCTTTTCTTTTATTGTAAATATTAGGTTGATGCATAAGTGTTTTTGTTCCTTTTCGTCTGCCGTTTCAAGCCAACAAATGCACGAATTAAACTACGGTTGATTTCATTAGAAAAAGCAATTATTTTTCTGCAAAATAACATTAAAACGGGTTTAAAAATATTGAATGCCTGGATTTTCTTGAGAGTATGAAGTCGGGTAGTCAAAAAGGGCTAACTCGATGATGCGGTTTAGACACCTTAGCTAAAGAAAACCTATCTTCGTGTCAATAGATAGAGAAAAAAAAACGTTTGATATTTCGCCAAAATTTCAGAGAAATTCATTCAGCCAATTTTTCCGTAGAGTTTTTTATAGATTTTTGACGAAAAAGGCGTTTTTCACTCTCGAATTTGCTTGAAAGTGAACCGAAATTCATTTAAAAAGATGCAAATTGAACAAAAAAACACTTTTTTTATACAGCAAACTATAGATTAATTGGTGAATTTGTTACTTTTTAACAGAAGTACGAAAAAAAACGAAAAGATTTATGCATCAACCTATTACTTTCAAACTTGCTCCCAAACGACATACGAGAAATTCAGTCGCTTTTCATATTCAAGAAACGTATCGATGCTTTAGATCTAGTGGCTCTTTGCCGTAAGTAATTGGCTTATTGATTTCAGTATGTATTGTATGATTAAGTGTCACTGTGCATTTCTCTATGATTTCTTTCACTTTATCGTTTGAATAAAGTATTATTATAAACATCATCGAAAAATCACAGCATGCTTTTATGCTTAGTTTGCAACTTGGTTTCAATCGTTTTGCATTTCAAATTATAAAGTTATTGATTTATCGGTGTGCAAAGTAAGAACAAAGTATTTCCTATTTTCCAATATGACAATACCTTGACTGCTCCATTTAAGCAATTCGTTGCTAATCTAGGCTTGTTGTTTCGGACGAAATTAGTCGTATTGTAGGGGGGAAATTGCGAAGAGGTGCTTGAAACAAAGAGAGCCAAGCGAACTGATGAACCAAGAATTCAACACACTTAAAAGAAGAAGTGGAAGAGCTTTTTCTTTTCTAAAAAGTTCAACAAACATATCGACGAGTATTTTTTGAAAAATAAGTCTTGTGTCATTTTTGGTTTGGCGTTTTTTCGAGAAGTTTCCTTTTTTAATTTAGTTACATTTATTTATATGTGAGTTGTTTATTTTAAGGTCTATTTTATTTTATTTTATTATTTATTTCTTTTGTATTGAGCTTTTACGATGGACTATGAGCTGTTTTTATTGAATTTAGTTGACAATATTTCACTGACACATTCTTGTTATTGTCTAGCAGCCATATTGATGGAAAGAGCTCTGCAGAAAGAAAAATCTGCAGAAAGTCAATGCTGAAGCAAATTAAATGCAAAAGCAAAAAAACAAGATAAGCCCGAGAAACAAAAATTTTGCAAATTTTTCATTAAAAAGCTTTCTTTCGCAAGAATTTTGAATAAAACAAACAAATTTACACACTTTGTTAGGCTTATCTGTTCAAATTTACGAGCAAAATCGGTCCGTTTTGAGAATAAATAGGGTTTTTTTGATGAAGTAAACTGTGATTTTGTTTTATTAAGAGAACTTCAAAGCAATGCTACGGTTTGTTATGAAATATCAAAAGAATTTTGATTTTTTAATCCTTAAAACATTTTCAGATTTCTTCTTGTGTTCACATATTCCACATGGGCATTTGTGAGTGCTGAAAAAGGCTTTGAGTGGGCTCCCTTCAACGATGGTGACCTCAATTGCTTGAGTAGTCATTATGCGTTTTATATGGGAACACTGCGAACGGTTTGTCGTATTTTAAAGATCTGTAAAGTTTCATATTGCTTTTTACTTTTACATTTACACTTACCGTAAATACTGTAATAGTACCCCACGCCCATAATGACGGTGCGGAGTGTTGCGTAGTCTAGCTTTTAACGAGTTTTTCTCGACACTGGTTTATGCTACAATGCTCGCTTAGGCATCAAAAAATAGCCCTGAATTTCAGCTATCTCTTGATACCAAAGACGCGTTTTTGAAAGTACGGGCGCTTTGAAAAAAAATGAAATACTAAAAAACTTTTGCGACTACGCGACTTTACGAGGGGGTTGGGGTACTATTACAGTATTTATTTACATCAAGCGGTAAAACAACAAGTGAAAGCATAGCAAAAGATAGATTATATTATTGAAAGTAAATTCCTTTCTTCAGTTTCAATATCTTATACAATTATCGTTAATTTAACCCCAGCTCCGTAATGACGGTGCGAAGTGTTGCGTAGTCTAGCTTTTAACGAGTTTTTCTCGACACTGGTTTATGCTACAATGCTCGCTTAGGTATCAAAAAATAGCCCTGAATTTCAGCTATTTTTTGATACTAAAGACGCATTTTTTGAAAGTACGGGTGCTTTGAAAAAAATGAAAGACGAAAAAACTTTTGCGACTACGCGACTGTACGAGGATGGGGATGGGGTACTATTAGAGTATTTACGGTAAGCAAGTTCACTCTTGTTTTATGCACAATTCAGTAGTTCTATTGCATTCTGTTGATTTCATAAAAGCCTCCTTTTTCATATCTTTTTTTTTTTGAAAAACTCTTCTTATAAGTTAGAGAAACTTTTTAATCTTAAGCTTTATTTAAAAATCAATTATCTTTTGATTCTAATTGATTTCACTTTTTGAAAAGAAGAAAAACGATGCATCTTTTTTTTGTACTTTTATATGTTTTATATCTTTTAGCCCTCGAATGTTCCAAGCCCATCAGATCTGCAAACTCTTCGGAACGCTTCAGCGAGAGGTATCAATCAGCTTTTAAGCGAAAAACAAAAAAAAAAATAGTTTTACGAGTGTTTGCTGTCATCAAACCGTGCTACATAATCGACTGTACGCCCGCTGAAGTCTACTTATCGATGATTGTTCAAGCGTTAAATGAAAGTGGGATTGAGGTAGAAATGTTGTTTTCAATTTCGATTTGTAACAAGCTTCTTTCTCAGATCAAAACGTTGTGGCTGGACGTAACCGAAAGACTGCCCATCTACAATATGCAGGCTAATCAGCAAGTCATCACAAATTTCGGCAATGCGGCCAAGGTTTGAGTTTTTGTGAAGCTTTCGACTAGGTGTTTATAGAAACTGAACATTGAAATCGGCATCAGGACTGTGCCGGACTCTTGGGCGTCTTTTGTGACAAAAAATTGGGATGGAATGGCTGGCTTCCCACTCTTCTTGGCCGAAGAAAAAAGGTCTTTTTTTTTGTTTTAAATAGTTTCAGTTTCTTTTTAAGTTTTACACCGTTCGGCGGATGGACGAAGCCGAGAATTCGTCGAATCGGTAGGCCTGCTTGGCCAAACTATCCCACCTGCACGTGTGGCAGCAGAAGCTACAAGTACAAGTGCTCTTATGACCCCATGCAAGTTTATGACGATGGTCTTTAAAATTGTTTATGTTTCGAAGTGAAAATTTTTAAATTACCCTAAAGTCTCGAGTATAAGTTCATCCGAGTATAGGTTCTACCTTAATTTACATTCGCTTTAATTGCTTTGAATTTCTTTTTGTTGGGTTTTTATTGTTATATAAACTTTTATTATTGTTCTTGGAGCGCGGGATACTACAGGGTGACAGCCTATCACCATTGCTATTTGTTATGTGCATGGATACATCCAGACGATAGTGTTGAAGAAGACGCTGGAAAGCATCTCTTTCGACCGTCGACGTGGACTTTGGCCGGATGAAGAGGCCAGGGAGGGATCCGTAAGACTGAGCACCGGAGAGGAGCAGAGCGGACGCGCCGAGCCACGCCCGGAGCAACAAATAACAGCATAAAATTGCTATAACCCTCAATAAATTTACTTCTATTATTGTTCTTAAAAAGCAAAAAAGTTATGCTGCAGCGGGGTTCGAACCCTCGACACACCGCACCGGAGACAGCCGTCAATTTGCATGCGAAAACCAAACGGAACTTATACTCGCGACTTTAGGGTAGATTAAAACTTTTGGGTTTATTTTTCGTCATCTGTGTACCAGTTTTGTAACGGTTCAGAAGATGAGCCTTGCTTTCGTTGTTTCCATTCAACTTCCCAAAAAAAAAATCTTAGAGTTAGTTTTGGCCTTCATTGTGGCTATGAAAAGTTCCGGATTCTCCATTCGGCTGAAAATGGAAATAGATTGCTTCAATCATTTCAACACAAAATTTACCGCTTAAAACAATACTTAAAAAAAACAAATGATTTGAAAATGAAAAAGAAACAACGACGCGGCGCTCCCATCGACTACCTCCAAATGGCGGCGACGTCAATAGGAATGCGACGTCGCGCGAAAATTAACATTTAGCAAAAGGATAAAGCTAAAATTTCAAATTCGCAACAGAAATTCAAATTTAACATGAAAACGTCTCGAAAAACATTTTTTCTCTCTGAATGTCATTTTTTACTTATCTACCGTAAATACTGTAATAGTACCCCATCCCCATCCTCGTACAGTCGCGTAGTCGCAAAAGTTTTTTAGTATTTAATTTTTTTTCAAAGCGCCCGTACTTTCAAAAAATGCGTCTTTGGTATCAAAAATAGCTGAAATTCAGGGCTATTTTTTGATACCTAAGCACGCATTGTAGCATAAACCAGTGTCGAGAAAAACTCGTTCAAAGCTAGACTACGCAACACTCCGCACCGTCATTTTGGGGACGGGGTACTATTACAGTATTTACGGGGGAGAGGGAGAGGGGAAAGGTAGGCCAAGGGGGTGGGTGTGGGTGGGCGAGGACACATCACAAACCCCCCCATCCTCGTACAGTCGCGTAGTCGCAAAAGGTTTTTGGTATTTCATTTTTTTTCAAAGCGCCCGTACTTTCAAAAACGCGTCTTTGGTATCAAGAGATAGCTGAAATTCAGGGCTATTTTTTGATGCCTAAGCGCGCATTGTAGCATAAACCAGTGTCGAGAAAAACTCGTTCAAAGCTAGACTACGCAACACTTCGCACCGTCATTACGGAGCTGGGGTACTATTACAATATTTACGGTACTTACTTCCATGTCAGATTTTGACGAAAATTAACGATTCTTTTCCATAACTTTTGATTGTGTATTTAAAAGAAAAGTTATAGTTTCTTTCATTATAGAATTTTTTGTGTCCAATGCATAAAAAATATCAACTTTTTTTTTGGTACTTGAAACACGAAAAGCCAGAGAATGCTTAAACAATTTGCGCTTGATTGAGCCGCCGTGACTCGACGTCGCACAAGTTCTCGCCCATTTTCCACTGAAACAAATCCAAGAGTTCATGTAGTTCATATTCAAAGATGAAATGTATGTGCAAAATCTTCTCACCTTGATGTATCCCTTCTCTCCCCAGGTGTCAGCCCAAGAGTTCTTGATGATCCAGTACGAGTTGTTATTTTCTTTTCCTGTCAATTTTTTTCGTTTTTTCGTAAATTTTTTGCGTTTTATAAAGAAAAGAGAGTACAATTTGTGATGAAAAAAAATGAACCATATCCAACGAGGACCATTGAATGACCGAACTCGTTGCCCGAACCGCATTTCGCGTCAAAGAGCCCACCCCCATAGTAGACAGCTTCATCGTTGAAAAGAGCGCCTAAACGATGTGTTAAAGTGTTAGTTAAACACAATTTTCTTCAAGTTTATTGTCAATTCTAAAATATTTTCCGATACCACACCGATAGCAATTGGTCCATCTTGAATGAGGGCGTCTTTGATCTCGTCCACCGTCGATCCAAGCAAACTGATGTGTGAGGCCACACGAACTGCTGGCGTCTAGACAAATGTATTTGATTTTTATTAGAAAACAATTCTAGATTTCTAGATTTCTAGATATTTCTATTGAGTTGGTGAATTGAAAACTGCGGGACTTTGAACTAAAATTTATTCAACATAAAACCATGAATTCATTCGAAATCATTTTCATTATTATTGACGACTTCTGCCCATTTTACAGGCAATTTGCGGATTCCTCTTTCGTAGTAGGATTTTGGTTTTGAATCGAAAAACTTTCAAAGCCAATTTTTGACTGCTTCTTCCGAATCGAAGTGTTCTCCCGCAAGCTCATTACTCATGATCCGGAATAAATAGTAATCAAAAGGGGCGAGGTCCGGACTGTATGGGGAATGCGCCAAAAGTTCCCAAACAAGGCTGTTTATTTTAGAGCGAGTCAGTTTTGCAACATGAGGGCGCGCGTTGTCGTGGATGAGAACGATTTTTGATTTGGAGGACCTATTCTTCTTCAGGGGTTCATTCACCTTTCCCAGCTGTGTGTGAGACAAGTGTGAGACTCAAAAATCGAGGACTGGAGATGTCCGATGTCCCAGTTTGAGCACTTTCTTCAAAAGAAACCCATTTTGGTGTCAATGGAAAAGTTGTAGAGAATCAAAAATGAGGCTTATAGCCAAATTTCCAAAAAGATACACTTAGTAGTTTCGCTTAAAATGCAAGTTTTGTGAAAATTCGGAAATTTCGCATTTCTTGAAAACCAGTTTTTGAATCGTTCTGAAAATTTGGATATAAGCTTGATTTTTGATTCTCTACAACTTTTCCATTGACACCAATAGGGGTTTCTTTTGAAGAAAGTGCTCAAACTGTCACATGTCGAAATAGCCGGCAGTTTTCAATCCATCAACCCAATATTTAATTTTTATTAGAAAACAATTCCAAACTCTTTACCTTCAAAGCGATTCAAATCTCTAGTAAAATTGAAAATTACTGTATAGATCAAAATCAAATCAAAGTCAAAAAGACTTGCCCATTTCTTGCAGGCCATATCTCCATTTTTGCCAACATATGGAGCATCGCTTTCCAAACCCAGACCAGGAGTTTGTTGATAATATCTGAACATTTATTTATGTCTTTTAAAAGCTTAGATTTCATTTCTTACTCCAGAGCATTCTCCGATGTGTTCGGCTCGCAAATTGTGCCGGTATTGTTAGCCGTAAAACAGGACATTTGCTGAAAGTTGTTCAATTGTTTTAGCACATCTGTTCAATTGTTTCAGATGTTCTTTGTATTCTCTTTTTTTTTCATTCTGTTTAATTTGATGAATTTAATTTGATCAAAATCGTTACCTGTTCAGATAAATCGATGAGATCTTCGCCTGGATGTTTGCGAGCATGTTGAGCCTCGAGAACACCAACCGCGCTAAGTCAAAGATTTTTGAAGGAAAACAAATCCACAGATTACAGATCAAATGTTTACCTAAACGCCCAGCAACTGTTACAGTCACCTTGATCTTTCACCGACGTGATCACCCCATAGTCTCTCCAATCGAAACTCTCCGGCAATTTGTCGTCAATTTGAGGATCGTACTTTGGTGGTTCATCATCACCTTTAGTTAAATCATCCTAGAAATGAGTTGTTAAAAAAGAAAACTTTTGTTATAATGTCAATGGTTCATCAGTTTCTCTTTCAGCTTTCAGAAACCCACCCCAGTGCCATCATCAGCAATCTCGGTGTCTCGCTTTTCTTTCTAAACTTTTTTTTGATCAAAAAACAGAGCAGATTATTTTAAACTTTTCCAAAAACAAACCCTTAGTCTTTGATTCTTTCCGGTTTTCTTGCCTGCCCGTGCGGCTTTTTTCGCAGCCCTTGCAGCCTGTCTTGCCATTTGTTTTGTTTTTCGTTTTTCCTTTCTCAATTTCTTGGCAGTCTGTCAATTTTGTGTATTATGTTAACATTTTTCACCAACCTTAGCATCGATTCCACCACTCTTTTTGTTAAAAATCATGGCTTTTTTAGGGAGAAGCACTTGCTAAACAAGCAAAAAGATTGTTTTTTCTTGAAAACTACAAAAGATTTTACTGCTTGAAACTCCTCCGGCTCCATTGACATGTATTTGTTCATTTTGAGTTGAAATGAGCGCCCTTTGTTCTTCTCTTGTAAAGCTTTCAATCTTTCGTTGTTCTTTGCGAACGCTTTTGCCGCTTTTTTCAGATTTTTTGCTTTGATTCGTTTGTTGAATCTAGATTATCGTCTGTCTAGTTGGTTTTTTAAAAACAAACTTCTTATGAAATTTCTGAAAATCTTCTAGATCCGAGCCAAGAGCAGTCTTAATGTCACTGGGTAGATTGCTTCCATCAACGATCTGAAGATAATTTTGAGCTACATACAGCTTTTAAAAACACTATTTATTCTTAGCATCAACGATCTGAAGATAATTTTGACCATATACAGCTTTTAAAAACACTATTTATTCTTCTCATCAACAATCTGAAGATAATTTTGGCCATATACACCTTTTAAAAACACAATTTATCCTAGTATTCTATCTTTCATTAAGTTTCTTTTGAGAATATCTTATTGAACAAAATAATAAATCTCTTTAGTAAAGGACTTTCCCTAAAAAGAGTAGCTTGAACACGTCGTTTAGACTTGGGAATGGGAATTTGTGAGGAAAGAAATGTGACTAAACTTTAGACTGGAGCAATGTGTGTTGTTGAAATATGACGCGACACAACCTAAGCACACAATCGACAACTCTACCTGATCTCCCGATTCGTCGGCAATGCTCATCAAGGCAAAACCGAAAGCGATCATCAAAATGAGAAGGCTCTTCATTCTGAAAACTCAAAAGAGAGGCTTTTAATGGAACAAAAAACTGCAATTATTAAAAAAAAACTCAGCCCAAACACTTTCTTTTCAATCTTAGCTCGTTTTATACCCGGTTCCGGTGAATTTTCCGGGTGAATTTTTCAAAATTTCCCCGTTTTTTTTTGCGTCTTTCTCTCTCATTTTCGTTTGAGCAAATCAATCAAAGGAACACCAGGAATTGAAAATTTTATCAAACAGACTTTTGATTTTATCAAAAAGAGCACTAACTTTTGATTGAAAATCATCAAAAGTTTAGATTTTAGGCTACTCAACGAATTTCCCCAACAGTTTACCGTATTCTCTCTAATAGTAGTGCACTCTCTAATAGTATTGCGGTCCAGGAGGGGGTTGAAAAAATAGTAGTGCGCACTACTATTAGAGAGAATACGGTAACTGAGATAAGAAAAGCTTGTGGGACAAAGAAGTCCAGTGTTCTTCTGAAATTCTGAAAAAGTTAAAGCATTAAATAAAATTTGTCTTAATCACAAATTTTCCCTATTTTAAGTACTTGCCCGTACTTTCAAAAACGCGTCTTTAGTATATTATTCCAGGTTAGGCTAGTAGATCAGACTCATCTATTTCCCTAATATTTCCCGGCGAGCCGAGTTGATGACTATTTTACGGTTTCCAAGTTTTCCCAGAAGCTCAACACTCAAATCCCCCACTAGATCTCATCGTCAGCTACATTTTCCGGTGCATTCCTTAATAGTGCACTCTGCCGAGTTGGTGACTATTTTACGGTTTCCAAGTTTTCCCAGAAGAACACGTGGATTTTCGTGCTTGACCCTAATTTGATTTTTGATTCTATTCGGTTGAAATTTTAAATAATTTTTTAGGAGGCTGGGACAAAAGCGACGTTCTTTTTGCGCACTGACCAAAAGCGCACTTTTTTCGAAGGAGAAATTAGCGAGTAAATTCAATATCTTTACATTGGAAGGGAATTTCCCCACCAAATCAGTTAAACGGCTGAGTATCTTTAAAAAGTGTCGTTTATAATGCAGGGCTCATCATTTTTGCGTCATTTTTTTTGCAATAATTTTTGCTAAAAGTACGGTAATTTTTTCCCAAGTGTGCGTTTTAAAAAACGCATTACTCGTGAGGAACTATACATTTCGAGTGTCCCCCCCTTTTCCCCCTTTTCCCCCAATGTGTCCCCTTTTTCTCTTTTTCTTTTTAGTGTCCCCCCAAATTTTCCCGTTTAAGATGTCCCTCTGAGTTCGATGCATTTGCCGACCATTGAGTTTAAAGTTAAAGCACTTTGGGGGGGAAAAAGGTGGGGGTTGAGGAAAAAAAGGGGGGAGGACAGGGGGGGGACCTTGAGGGGGACAGGGGGGGGGGGACCTGGGGGAAAGGCGGCGGGGGGGGGGGCGGGGGGGGGCCGGGGGGGGGGGGGGGGGGGCGAGGGGGGGGGGGGGGGGGGGGGGGGGAAGAGGCCGTTGGCGATATCTGGAAAAAAAAAGTCAGTTCAAAAATCAGTGATTTCGATTCATTAGAATATCCCGTTAACAATTCTCATCGTCGCTCCACCATACGCGATGGCGCAGATTTTCATCGCCATAGTGGGTATTTTTGGAAGAATTAGACAATTTTGCTGTGTAACTTTCAAATTATGATAGCTAAAAAGTGAATTAAACTTTTTCAGCTTCACCATGTCCTTCGTTGGTACAATAAACGAGTGATTCGTCAAATCTCGAAGAATCCATTTAAAGGGACGCACCGCGCAACCCATCAATTGGGGGGGGAGTCGGGGAGGGGAATGACAATATAAGACAAGCAAAACAAGCAAAAGCCAAGACAAGAAGAAAAAAAAAGACAAGAAAAAAGCAAAGACAAGCAAAAGAAAAGACAAGCAAAAACTGAGCAACTTTATAAAAGCAACTCTTCATCTTTCAAATTTCAAATATTAGGGTGGTGCAAAAGAAACTGCCGATTTGACGGTAAATTAAAAGAAAAAGATGGCGTTCGATGGTGACATGATGACAATGGAATATTTTCGCAAGATCTCGAGCAGATTGGCATGGATCGGCCTGAATAACGTCCCTCAGCTTGGCTTCGTTCACGACCTCTAGCCTCGAACCGTGCTCGTAATCTTCCAAAGTCTCGTCTCCCCCTCGGAATCGTTGAAACCAAGTCTGACACTGACATCTGATAATCTGATATTAGCTGTAGAGTTTTTCATTTGACATTCTTTCTGTGCATCTTTCTGTTTTCATTCTAAAACACGCGCCATCTAATGACCGCTTGATTCAAATTGAGCTTGTATGGATTAGCAATTTGCATAGTTGACACAGGCCACAGGAGATGCCTCAAAGACATGAGACCGTACGGGTTTTGTCCCAAAGTCAATAAACCAAAAAATCCAATGACTTCTGGTTGACCTAGCTCATTCGACAAAACTGGCAGAACTTCCTTTCAAGATGGAAAAAGGGACTCATCCACTCCAAAAAGCCTCAAAAAGTCTGGCCCCAAAAATTAGGTTTTAAACATTTTAAACATTCTACCATTCAAAAGTTTGCAAAAAAATCCGCTAGGTGCGAAAACTTTTCACCCAATTACCCCATTTCTCTTTAAATCCTAATAAATTGGAAAGACCAAAGGTTTCACAAAGATGGAAAAAGGGACTCATCCACCTCAATCTCTCCCCAAAAATCTGTCAGCTGTTGCCTGATCTTTTCTCCATTTTCCCTCTCTTTCCTCCATAAATACCACCAGAAAATTGTCCGATCTCGTCGAGATTTCTTTTTCTTTCATTTTTTTTTGTCTTCTCTATGAATGATTTGAGAGAGAAAAACGATTAAAATGGGTCTGCTCATTTGTCTCAAATAACCTCAAATGTGTCGCCTTTAAGTAGCTTTGGTAGAGTTCAAATTGCCGGTCTTTTTGGGGTTTTTTTTTTTTGATCAAAAATTTGATACTCTAATTCTATATTATTTATTTGATACTCTAATTCTATCAAAAATTTGATACTCTATTTTGCTTTTCTCGATGTTTCACTGATATTTTGGATAAACATTGGATATTTTGATAAACTCAAAGGGGATAAATTTAGAGTATCAGCTTTTTTTCTTTTCTCTATTGAAAAGATTTCCGTTTTGTGGTCAGTGTTTGCAAGGTAGTAGGACGGCTACAAAAAGGAGAAAGATCGTTGTGCAAACGGGTAAAAACGTTTGAGAGTGAAGGGAAAAGGTAAAAGAAGAAAAAAGAAGAAGAGGAAGAAGAAGAAGATGAAGAAGAAGAAGAAGAGGAAGAAGAAGAAAAAGAAGAAGAAGAAGAATTCTTTGCTGAAAGCCAGTGAAATCTGATCACTTTTCCCTCCTTTTTACTTGTCTCTTTCAATCGCACATCCGTCTGGTGACCATTTACATAAAAACACGGCCCAACAATTTTTTCTCTATTCTATTTTTAGTTGAATTTGTTGATAATTGTATAAGATATTGAAACTGAAGAAAGGAATTTACTTTCAATAATATAATCTATCTTTTGCTATGCTTTCACTTGTTGTTTTACCGCTTGATGTAAATAAATACTGTAATAGTACCCCAACCCCCTCGTAAAGTCGCGTAGTCGCAAAAGTTTTTTAGTATTTCATTTTTTTTCAAAGCGCCCGTACTTTCAAAAATGCGTCTTTGGTATCAAAAAATAGCTGAAATTCAGGGCTATTTTTTTGATACCTAAGCCCGCATTGTAGCATAAACCAGTGTCGAGAAAAACTCGTTCAAAGCTAGACTACGCAACACTCCGCACCGTCATTATTGGGGGTGGGGTACTATTACAGTATTTACGGTAATCTAAAAGTTCTCAAAGATAATTGACCAGAATTCTTCTTCATCAACGTATCCACTTCTTGGCACTGTCCAATTCTCATCACCAAGCGTCGAATAATTGTAGCATAAACCAGTGTCGAGAGAAACTCGTTCAAAGCTAGACTACGCAACACTCCGCACCGTCATTATGAGCATGGGGTACTATTACAATATTTACGGTAGGTTTTGTTAAGGTCAAGTGCTTTCTTCTCAAAGCTCAATTTCAAGAAAATTTGAACTTTAACACTTCTTGTCTTATTTTAGAGCTTAAAAGTTTAATTTCTCTTTGATGTCAAAGGATTACAATAATAATTGAGTTATTGTAACTTTTAGTCAATTGTAATTTACCATTACATAAACAGTTAAAGTTATAATAAGATTTGAAAATTTTCTCTCTTTTGTACAAATTGCAAACTTGTCTAGTTTAAGGAAAAGAGACAAAGCTTTGTCAAAACTTTGATCCATTATAAAAGTTCTTGAATCAAAAGATTTCAATCCTTTAGTTCACCTCAAATCTGTATTCATTGGTTTGTAAAACAACATATAAAAAGTGAAAGTTTATCCTGTATTTGTCAGTGAGTCAATCACTCATCCCACCGCATTTCCCCTTTTCTACTCTTTTTTAGATGAATGTTTGTGGACTCTCATGTTTTCTCTTCCTTTTTTTTTTTCCTCTTTTCAATCTTATGACTTGTCCACTGTAAAGAGCTCCCTTTTCTAACGCCATCAATATTTTTCTAAGCTTTCTTTCTTTTGCTAACACTTTTGGATCATCACTTGAAATTTTGTGTGCGAAATCTTTAGACTTTCAACTTTAATAGGAAATTCTGAATTGCTCCAGAATATTTAAATACTTTTGCTTGAATCTCTATCGAAAATTGGCTCTTGCTTAGTTTCCAGGTATTTTGAACGGATCGCCATGCTTTGAAAGCCTAGAACTTTGTCCAGAAATAATATTTTTGCTAGCTTTTTATATCATTGTACAGAGAACATTTCAGGCTTTCAAATGATACCAAATAGAGCTTGACTAGATTTTTCATTGCCTTGCAAACCAGGCGAGACGACATCCAAGTCGGATAGGCCTCATTTGTTCCGAGTTGGCTCTGATTTTCTTGGACTGGATTAACCAATCAAACTCTATTTGGTATCATTTAAAAGCCTGAA